CCAGCTTGCATTCCCACCAACAGTGTAGGAGGGTTCCCCTTCTCCGCATCCCCGCCAACATCTGTCGTTTCCTGACTTGTTAATTTTAGGCACAGAATAGCTGAGACTCTTGAAGGGCCTTATCGGTTTAATGAAATCATTTTGTAAAGGTGACCATCAGTCAGTGACCCAGTATTGGTAAGCCATGGAGCTTTGTACTTTAGGCTGATCCCTGCCAGGACACGGCAGTCACTTAGGAATCTCATTTCTGGACCCTCCTTCGATATCTATGCAATTTTCTTGGTTAATAATCTCCCAGAGTTAACTAAAATGCCCCTCAACAGTATTATCACTTTCAATAAATTGGCTTCTCAGCATCATTTTATGAAATAGATAACATCCTCCTCAAGTTCCTTGAAGCCGGCTTCCCTTTGATTTTCCTAATACCATAACTGCCTTCAAATCTCTCTCCTCCCCTGGTCTCTTATGCCCTCTATTTGCCCTGCACCTACTGCCAGAGCATGTTCTCGAAGAGCAGCAGTATACTGCACAGGGATCAGAAGCTCTAGGTACTTGGATTTGCTTCACTAATATTAGTTTAATAACTCCTGGACCCAGAAATACTAAAGCATCTAGCAGCAGGGTCAGCCACTGTAAATAAGCTCATTACCTAAGTGGTCAGGAAGAAAGTGTTTCAAGAATGTTGTAGCTGCACTTTATAAGAGAGTTGAGTAATTTGGTTTGACCATAACAGATGTCTGGGATTCTCCCATTTCAGTGGTGTGGGCTTGGAAGTTTGTTTAGAATGTCTGAGATTGTGTAGAAGATGTAAGGAATCTTTTAAACATGAGATTTTATAAGAAATCCTTCACTGTAATTACTTGAGACCCGGGCTTAACCCTTCCCCCTACATTTTTTTCTAATCCTACCTCCAGGAACCACCTCCAGCAGCAACACAGTGGTTGCCGGCCAAGACAGTTTCCCAGACGCCGAGGAGAGCAAGATATTGAAAGAATCTGATGAGAGGTTGGTGCACAAATTTGGCTTAAGGTCCAGTATAACTTTCAGCAATAGTCTATACAAAGGCATCAGTAAGAGTTTGTGGTGTTTCATAAATTACACACACACACACACACACACACACACATTCTTCTTTGCTTTTAGAAACACAAACTGACTCTGATTCTGCTCTGTATATCCCTAAAGATAATGATTTCTCCCTGAGAAAAGCCAGAGAAAAGAAAGATTAAGAGGGATGTCATTCTGGTGGCTGAATCCCACTTACCGCAGGGCTTACTAAAAACCACTGGTGGTTCTGCTAGTGGGCACAGACCATCTGGAATTAGAGGGCATTTCCATGTGAAATTTTCAGATCTGGCTGTGGAATGATTACTTAGAAATTGAACAGTTGTCTTGAGGTGAGTCCTATGAAACGTCATCATTTTTGTTCTGTCTTTACATGGTCAAATTTGGTTAACCAACAACATTGCCTTTTCTGCTAAAATAAGCCTCTAGTGCCTTCACATTAGCTCTTTAATGGTATTTCTCTTGCCCCTTTACATTGTCCAGAAGCTACTCATAAATAAATAAAATCTGCATCACTATTTCCTGTAGTTAATTGTGAAGAGCAGAGAAACAAACAAAAGAAATAAATAGGACTCAAATTAAAAAATAAAAATTAGATGGGGTGCCTGGGTGGTTCAGTTGGTTAAGCATCCAACCCTTGATTTCGGCTCAGGTCATGACCTCAGGGTCCCGAGATCGAGCCCTGTGTTCAGCCCCGTGCTCAGCAGAGAGTCTACTTAAGGATTCTCTCTTCCTCTCCCTCTGCCTCTCTCCCCACTTGTGCCCTAAATTAATTAATTAATTAATTATATAAAATCTTTAAAAAATAAAAACTAGAATGATTCTCATGGTGTCGAAAACTCCTTAGGCTGACAATTTTCTAGTGAAAACTCCCGAGGAGCCGTTTCACTTAAGAAATTAGTAACAAGGATGAGACTCACACAGATTCATAATGGAGAAAATTCAATAGATCAACTAATTGAAATAATTCACTCAACCCATAATGCTTCCAGATGCTTCGTGACCGTCCTCAGGATTTCATCCTGTGCAGGAGAATATGGCGGGGGCTGCAGGTGGATGGGTATCTGACATAAGACGGACTGCCTCTGGAGTTCTGAAGGCTCATTTCCAGTTCGGGCCCTTATCAGGTTCCCCAGTACCTTCATTCCTGGGTTGCTACACTGCCTTTAGGCAGATGCTCATCCACATGAGCCTTCCTTCAGGTTAAAAGCCCAAACCCAGTGGATCATGATCATAGACCTCGCCCAATACAGATCTCTAATAGAGGCGTTTCTTTCATTCTTGGAAATGAGTAAAGGTTTTCATACTCCATACATCAATGACAATACAAGATGATTAATTAACATGGTTTTAATCTGTATTTGTTAGTACCTTCTTTGGAAACTTCCTTATGGTAAATAATGACATTATTTCTCTAAAGATATTTCTACTTTCTAGTTGGAGTGTAACATTCTTTATCATTTGTTGTCTAGACTGAATTTTCCAATCTTAATTTTATTTAGGGTAGAAAGATGATGAATGTCTGTATATTAACATCTCACCACAAAGGCCCCTTTGGGACCAGAGTCCTGAGTGTCCTACCCAAGTTTTTAGTGGTGGCCCTTGAAATTAAGAGGCTAACCTCTAATATCATCTCTAATATCAAGATCAGAGAACACCTCTAATAGAGGCTTTCTTGTTTAACTCTTGCTGTCCTCCTCTCTCACTGTATCTCTGTTGGCCATTGGAAAGCTTGATGCAGTTATGTACCCACACTTTTTATACATATGCATATATATCTGGTTCTTTCATAACAGCTATATCTATTTATCTATAGCTTTATTGACCAATTTATATATATTCATATGTATATAACCATATATATACTAATATTCTATCCCAAAGGATACCATTATTCCCTTGATCCTGTACTCCATCTGCACGATTTCTCTAATACATTCTCTTTTTTCTGTGAAAGTAGACTGTGCCCTCAGCCTAAAATACCTTATTTCTCTTGAATCTACTTATTACCCTTCCTTTCTTGTAGACTCTGTCATGTTGATTTATAGGTACTTGTACACATGCTTGTCTCAACCACTAGATTTTCATTCTTGGAAAACAGAGACCACATATCTCGCATACATATTGCTATCCTTAATGATTAGCCTACTATGCTATACATAGTAGGAATTCTTTAATGTTTATTCAGTATGTGAATAAAAATGGGGGAAATCTGACAGCCCCAGAGATAAGCTGTCCAAACCATCTGGCCTCTTTCTCCCTCCCTCTTGCTAACCCCATTACAGAAGATAGTTACTTTACAGTCCTTGTGAACAGCCTATTCTTTATAGTTCTTTAAAGTCCTTGTAGACAAAGAGTCTACAGATAACAGTTGGTCAGAAATACTGACCAGGCTACTGTGTTACCCAACTCCTAGGGGGTACTAGTCACCAAAATACATTATTGGGCTCCAGGGGGCGCCATGGAGTTGTGCAAAGAAGCAGGCCTGATGCCATGTTTTTTCCAGCTAGATTAATGGCCTTTTGATGTATTTTGGTAATATTTAATACTATAATATCTATTAACAAAAAGTTCAAATAGGTTATGGTATCATTAAAACAAGGGTAAAGGAATAAGAGCCAAGCTAAGAGGAGAGTAAGATAGTTTTGTTTAAAGTCCTCAAGTCCTCACTAAGGAAAACTACTAAAAGTTAGTATTAACCTAAACTTGAATTCCTCAAGAGCCAAAGTAAAAAAAGAAGAATACAGTGAATTTTATAACTTTCAGTGTGTAAAAATAAAAACTATTCATGGAAGCTACTAACAGAAACTACCCTAAATTCCTATTATTTTTTTTAAAGATTTTATTTATATATTTGAGAGAGCATGAGCGTGGGGGGGAGGGGCAGAGGGAGAGGGAGAAGCAGACTCCCCACTGAGTAGGGAGCCCGATGATGTGGGGCTCGATCCCAGGACCCTGAGATCATGACCTGAGCCGAAGGCAGATGCTTAACTGACAGAGCCACCCAGGCACCCCGAAACTATCCTAAATTCAAAGAAGGATTTATCATGTAGGGTTTTTTTATTAAACAACAAAGTGAACACATTTTTTATTAAAATAGCTGTTTGTAGCAGTTTGTAAAATATGCAGAACCAAACTATGTAAGTATTTTTAATACATCAACCCTTAAGAAGTACTTATTTGATAAATTTATAGGTTCCATGAAAGGATTTTTTTTTCATAGGGAGCCAAAGCAATAAGCTTCAAATGTATGAATTTCTGGTAATCTCGCTTGATACAGAGATAGAAATTAATAATCTACAAAAAGTTGCCTAAGTATTACTTTGAGCTAAATCAGCAAGTTAAAATTTAGAGAAACATTTTGTCCTTCTAGTTTTTCTCTTATCAGAGTGATACTCATGATATATTTCTTAAGACATGTACCTTTGATATTAAAAAGCTATTTAGTCTACTTAATCATTGAAATTCCTCTAAAACCCAGACCCAAAATTATTTTCTTCAAGCCAGGAAAGCAAAGGAAAATAACAGATTTTAGGAGCCAGTTTTTACTTTTTTGTTGTTGTTGTTGCCAAGCTTGTACTTCGCTACACTGTGGTTTTGATCTTCTCCAGAGTAAAGAGAACAGTCTGGAAGGGGCTTGCTCCTCATGTTCGTCTTGGCTTCATAACCTCTGCCTAACTCTCCTTTAGATGTATCTCAAGGGAAAAGAGAAGGATTGTCATCCTTTCTATAATTCTTTCCTGCCTGGCCCCTCCAGAGCGTGATTAGAAAGCCAGCACATACTGTATATGGTTCATGAGCTCTCTGTCCCACGGAAGTCTCCAGATGTGGAATTCTTTCATCCCCCTGATTATATGCCTTGCTGAATGAGTTCTGGGCTCTACCTATGCTGTTTTTAACTTTGCGTTTGTCAGCACAAATATGATTAAAGAACATCTTCAGAAGGTAATGGGTTTGTCACTTTTCTAATTTCGTAAGTTCAGTCTGATGTAGACAGACTGAGCAGATGTCCTAGCTGTTCTGTTTTATGGATGCATGAAGCAGTAGCCCAAAAGATAGGACAATAATGCTTGAAATACAGTGTTATGGGTGCCTGGGTGGCTCAGTCGTTAAGCGTCTGCCTTTGGCTCAGGTCATGATCCCAGGATCCTGGGATTGAGCCCCGCATCGGGCTCCCTGCTCAGCAGGAAGCCTGCTTCTCCCTCTCCCACTCCCCCTGCTTGTATTCCCTCGCTGTCTCTCTCTCTCTGTCAAATAAATAAATAAAATCTTAAAAAAAAGATACAGAGTTATTAGGGAAAAGATGGCTGTGTTAGGAGAAAGAAAAAGCTGCAGCCAACATCAAAGAGGTGAATAAAACCAAATTCATTAGAGTCTGTTACATTTCTGTGTTCAGCAAATCTAAATCACTGATGTCCCGAGATTATACACCCGGGACAAGGTAGGGGTTTTAATGGCACATTCAGTACTTTTTCCTAAAGCATCTCTTTTTCTCCATACACTGGAGGACAGCAGTAGCCCTGCATTCCCCAGTGTTCCAGAGGGATTGTCAGTTAAGGCAGAACACCTGTCAGTAATGAAGGGGAACACACCTGCTCCGGTTTGAATTTTCCAGATATTTCTACATAGCCTTAATTCTTTGTTTTGACTGCATATATATTAAGTAGATAAAACCTGTACCATTTTATATAAAATAAATATAAAGTGTTATCATCACTTCCCTTTACCCACCCCGTTGCCGTACATGTAGGCCTTTGGATGACAAAAATACTATTGATTTGAAAGCCTTTGGTGCCCTGAAGAGAGAAGGCAAGGCATTCTAGAAATTCAAGGTAGAAATATAATAACTAATCCCTTATACTTGGATGTCTCACAGTTTGGGAAACGTTCGTGCATTATTTCTTTTTGATTCCCACAACAACCCCAGTGAAATAAATGGTGAAGTATTATTCTTATTCCTTTTTGGCAGGTGTGGACATAGGGTCCCCAAGGAAATACAGGACTTGGCCAAGGTCACAGAGCTAATGAGTGAGAGCTCAGTCCTAAAATCACCTGTTCACCTGCTCAGAGGCAGCATGGTTTTCAAAGCATCCTCCTCCTGCCACCTTTCTGTGGTTGACACTGGACAAGTCGTATAACCTTACTCAGCCCGTTTCCACACCTAGGACCTTTTCCTGAAAACCTTCAGATCATTTTAAGGGAAACTGTAAAGCTGATAAAACCCAAGATTTATTATGAAACCATTTTTGCATATTCCCAATTCTATCTACTTTGACTTAATCAATAATTATTTATTGACCACCTACCACCTACCTTATGCCAGGCTCCCATGTGAATAGGGATTCAAATTATTCAGTGTCATATCTATTTTCTTTCTAAACAGATGTTATTTTCAGGCTCAATCCAAATATTAGCCTTAAAATATTTAGCTTATGAAGGCTTAAACTTGTGCTTCTGAGCAAGGGTGACCACTGGCCCTCTCAAGGAAAACAAAATGTTTGAAGTACAATTTTTACAGTATTCCTTTAGGAAAAGCATCATTGGAACTCACTGCCAAAAACTCAACCACTAAGTAATAGTATGTGTTTATGAGTAACAGCACATACACACACATGTCAGTGTTTCCAATGGTTGTTCTTGTATTTGAAGGTTTAGTAATGTCATCAGAGCCCACACCCGCCTAGAGTCAAGATACAGCAATAGCTCTGGAGGATCATATGATGAAGATAAAAGTAAGTACCAGCAGGGTGTTCAGATGGAATACAGGTGGTTGGGGAGTGGAAAGTGAACATTTTGATTATTCCTGTTCTAATTACTAAAAAGAGACCCATAAATACTAAGTAACTATGTAATCCAACTATGCAGGTGAGCATAGAGTCAGCATCTTAACAGTAAAAAGAAGCCATGCAATGGACAAATCAAAATTAGAAAACTTCAAACTACTGCCCAAATCCATATTTTTATATTCTTGGCATTTTTCCTTGGCAATGCAGCTGGGGAAGGCCTAGTCAGAAATTGTCCCATTAGAGAACAAATGTTGCAGTTCAGTTTTTCAACCTCTCTTAAGAGTGGATTTGACCTTTAAGCTCTGTGAGTCAGCTTGCCCAGGGTAGGATGTGTTTTCACATTGAATTTCTCAAGGGCATAGTGTCAGTAGCCCAAGTGAAAACCTCACTAAACGGGGAGATATAACTGTCACAGGAATTTCTCTGTACCCTGGGAAGGTGGGAACACCAAAAAGGTCAATGCATTCATTTACTTTGTTTAAGCCCTGAACAGCTTCTGTGGATACTGAGCAGGTAAAGGGTATCACTTGGTCACAAGTTGCAGAAATTCTGGAACCAAAGAACACTCCCTGTGATTTTCGGTATGCTGAGGAAATCAGTAAACCATCTGGTGGGATTTATTTGTCTCATTTGGTGGAAATTGTAAATATGATGGTATTTCATGAGTTAGGTTCATTTGTCAATGCATAGGGCCTTTGTAGCTGTTGTTCTGATTTGTTTTGTTTTTACGGAAAATGTGCAGAATGGGTAAGAGCTACGTAGTTGTAATGACACTGTATTTCAGCTGCTCTGACTCTGCTTCTTAATGCACAGACAGGCAATTCTCCAGCCCTGAAAATACCAATGGAAAGGATGTCTAGAATCTGTATAAAATTGCCATACTCTAACATAGGTTAAGTTTCACCTATATGCCTATATAACTTGTTACTAGTACTATCAATCTGAAGTAAAATAAAGCTCTTTGTATTTTCTCTTCTTTCTGTGCCCCATCAGGGGACCATACCATCCAAACACTGAATATTTGAAATCTCAGGGGCACTGACCATCAGTTTTAGATGGGACTAGATTCTATAGATGAGGAGAGTAGTAGTTGAGAAATGGAGAGTTGTTGGTTCAAGAAAAGTCTGGTTGCTATGCAACAGTAACTCAGAATGGGAGGACAAAAAAAAAAAAAAATGGCATCATGAAAAGGTGAAGTAGTCAAATCCTACCCTCCCCCCCCCACCAAAATGTGACAAGCATAACAAAACATAACGTTCTAGGGGCGCCTGGGTGGCTCAGTCGTTTAAGCATCTGCCTGTGGCTCAGGTCATGATCCCGTAGTCCTGGGATGGAGCCCCACATCGGACTCTCTGCTCAGCGGGGAGTCTGTTTCTCCCTCTCCCTCTGCTGCTCTCCCTGCTCATTCTCTCTCTTTAACAAAACAAAACAAAACAAAACTCTATGACTGTGGATTTTACATCAGGAATATTGCTGTCTTTGCCAATTGATTCCTTTAAAGTGTATCTCTTTGCTCTGGGTCTAGAACATAGAATTTGGTAGAAATGCTATAATAAAACCACCTGGGTGTCTCAGTTGGTTAAGTGGCTGCCTTCAGTTCAGGTCATGATCCCAGGGTTCTGGGATCAAGCCCCGTGTCTGGCTCCTTGCTCAGCGGGAAGGCTGCTTCTCCCTCTGCCCCTGATTGTGCTCTCTCTCTCACTATCTCTCTCTGTGTGTCAAATAAATAAATAAATTCTTTAAAAAAAAAAAAAAGAAAATACATATATAGTGAATTGCAGAAGATAATTATAGTAAAATGAGATAATTGTGTCATTACAGAAACTCACATCACTGGCTTTAGGGACAAAAAGAAAAAGTAATGGAAGTATTTGTGAAGAGGAAAAAAAACTATAGTGAATAGTTGTGAAAGGCATAAAAAGAAATCTAATGTTATCATCATGGCATCTATTTCACCTAGAAATGTTGTTTTATAAACTTGTTGTGCCAGCATAAAATAAACAGCATTTTAATGGGAAAATTTTGGTACAGAATTTGAATCCAGTTGAGTCGTGTATCAATAATACCCTTTACATGGTTGTAGTTATTGACCAGAGAAGTTCCAGTTCATAGCATGTCATTTGGGGACTGAGAGCTTATATTTTAAATTATTAATTATAAGGGAAAATGAAATCAAATTACTCAAACCATATTCTCATCACAGAAAAACCCAGAAAATACATACTAAGATCGTTTTCTAGGTGTTTAAGTAATAGAAGTTAACTCTGGGTGTCTGGAGGAGGCAGCACATCTAATAGGGCACAGATCCCCTTAGGACTTTGGTAACTGGGTCCTCCCTGATATATTTTTGGTTCTAGCTACACAAGGATGGAAATGGTCTATGCCATAAGAAAAGCAAAGATTGGTAGGCTCAATTCCAAAACCGTATGGCCACACTTCTGGTGTATGTGAAGGGCGATTATTTTTCTCCCTGAATTCCTGAGAGGATCATTAGAGATAAGAAAGAGTAAGAAGGAATCAGGAGAGACCTAGTGCCCCAGGGCTTCATAATCTGGGTTTACCCAAATGGAAGGACTGTGTGCAGCCTCTTGAGAGTATTTTTCTATTCTAAAAAAAAAAAACCTTGAGTAAAATGAATAAAAAACAGATTTAGACCCAGATCTATAAAAATCTTCCTACCAATATGATGTAAGCTTTTTTAGGACTACTTAAAATATCTGGATTATTCTCCAAGGCCATATGCTAGTGTATTTAACCCTATAATATAGATAGAACTAGTTGAGCTGGATCGCAGCTGAGTCCTAGTGATTTAGACCTAACTGTAGAAAACCAGTTTCAGGCCCACTTATTCCTAATCCAATCGCTAAAAATCCAGCGCATTTTTGCTGATCAGATGTGTATCTGAGAACATAATTGAAACAAAGAAAAATATATCCTTTCCCTAACAGAAATCTCACAAGTTTCTCTTTTTCTTAGTTCTTTGATATTCTTCCCATTTCTGCTCTCCTTTTAAGTTTTATTATAGAGTAGCTGATTACTTAGAAGTACATTTTGCAATTAGCTTATCCTAGATAGTTACTCAAAACGTTAATTTGCTGAAAGTGGAACATTCCGTAGGTAATTTACTGGGAGGTCTGAGATGAGGAACTGTCACACATGCTTTACATTTTTTTCTGGGCTAAAACTGTTGTGGCCAAGCTTCATGGCATAGAATTTAGAGGGTTCCAGTTGCTCGATTTTTGGTGTGTTAGTAAGACCTAACAGTTGCTTTCTGAGGCAAATCCTGACCTTGCCCCTGGAAAACTCCCTTCCCTGACATCCCAGAAGGGGGCTGTGTCCTCGTGCCCGCCCTTGCTGTAAGCCTCAGTCTTCACAATGGATAGACACCCCCTCCACTGGTTCTGCTGACCACTAAGGACAGCTTTCTACACGGGACCAGGAACCTTGAATCTGTTACCTCTCACTGCCTTTCAAGAGTGCAGCCAAGAAAATCTACATATGGTAGAAATTGCCTAAAGATGATCTAATATATCCTTCTTCTTAATACACTAAAACCTATCCCAGGATTGAGCCAGCTTGTCGAAGCCATGTGCCTGGCTCATATCATGTGGCCCCCAGTGGACCTGCTTGTCTTTGAATGCCACTGACCTCTATTGAGAGCATTCTAAAAGGAGCTCCATGCTGAGTCTGGCTAGAGGTTTATCAACTTTGTTGATCTTTTCAAAGAACCAGCTCCTGGTTTCACTGATGTGTTCTGTTGTTTTTTTAGTTTCTGTATCATTTATTTCTGCTCTGATTTTATTATTTCCTTCCTTCTGCTGGATTGGGGCTTGTTCTTTTTCCAGCTCCTTTAAGTGTAAGGTTAAGTTATTTGGAAACTCATTGCTGTGTTTACTTTAAAGATATTGTTGAGGAAGTTCATTAATTCAAAAACTATTTGTTGATTCCCTACTACATGTCAGATACTGTTCGAGGTACTGGGGAAACAACAATGAACAAAATAAAGTCTCTGCTATTGTGGAGCTTATATGAGAGTCAAAAGAGGTACTCCGTGCCAATGAATGGATGATCTGTTCCAGGAAGGAAAACTAAAGCAGAGTGAGAGGATAGAAAGTGATTGGGGGTGGGGGTAGATTTTAAATAGAGTGATCCTGGAAATCCTCTACAATAAATTGATACTTGGGCAGAGACCCGTGTGAGGTAAAGGAGCCATGGGCCCTCCGGTAAAGAGCACTGCAGCCAAAGGGAATGCTAGATGTGAAGGCCCTGAAGCTGGACAGTGTCTCGTGTGATCACAGAACAGCAAGAAAGCCAGAATGACTGGGGTGGTGTGAGCAAGGAGGATGGTAGTAGGAGATAAGCCAAGAGAGTAATAGCAGGAAGACCTTGTGAGGCCTTAAAGGCCATGGTGTGGAGTTTGGACTTCATTTTGAGTGGAAAGGGGAGCCACTGGAGAGTGTCAAGCAGAGAGAGAGAGATGTGGATGAACTTCTGTTTTAAAAGGATTACTCTGGCTGCTCTGTGGAAGACAGACAGTAGAGGGGCAAGGATGGAAGTAGGGAGGCCATTGCAGGCTCCATGTGAGAGAGTGTGGTGACTTACACTGGCAGTGATGGAGATGGGGAAAAGTGGTCTTATTCTGGATATGTTTTGAAGGTAGAGCTCACTGAATATGGTGCCAGGTTGCCTAACCTCTGTTTCCCCTCCGTAAAGTAGGGGTAAGAGGTACCTATTATTGGGCTATTAACTTGTGCAATGCAGGGGCGCCTGGGTGGCTCAGTCGGTTGAACATCTGACTTGATTTCGGCTCAGATCATGATCTTGGGGTTGTGAGATCTAGCCCCACATCGGGCCTCTCCTCCTGCCCCCCCCCAATAAATAAATGAATCTTCTAAAAGAATATGTGCAATGCATAGAACAGTGCCTGGTATAAAGGAAGTACTCCCTGTGTTAGCTCCTAATGTTATTATTTTTATTACTATTGTTATCCTCATCATTATTATCATGATTATGAGTTGGATGTGAGATATAAAAGGTAAATCAGGGATAGCTCTAAGGCTCCTGCCCTGAGCAAAATGGAAATACAGAGTTGCATTTTACTGAAATGGGAAAGATTGGAGAAAGACCAAGTTCTCACAGTGATGAGAATTTGCATGATTTAATGTTTTCTTTTTGCATGTCTGTATTTCCCATTGCTCTGTAATGCATAATTGTATATTAGATTATCAAAAAATAAAGGGACTAAAAAATCTAATCAAGTGATTCTAACCCATTGATCCTATAATTCATACTCACCAAATGAGATGGTTAGAAAGTTATTTTTACTAGCCTAAATTTGTAAGATTCTTTCTATAAACACCAAGTAGGGAAAACAAAAATCATCTCTCCCTAAAAATAACACACGCTTGTCTTTCTCACCCTATAGATGACCCGATTTCTCCCTACACGGGCTGGCTGTTGACTATTACAGAGACCAAACAACCACAGCCCCTCCCCATGCCTTGTACTGGAGGATGCTGGGCCCCCCTGGTTGACTACCTCCCAGAGACCATCACTCCCCGGGGGCCCCTCCATAGGTAAGTAGCATGTGTGGGTAGAGGGAAATGACTGCTTAACTTTGGCTGGACTTTTCCTCCTGTGAAGGGAGGGAAATCATTCCAGGTCCCATCAAATGAAATGACCTTTGAAATCAGAGGGACCATGCACGACTTGACTTGTAGCTGTCAGTGTATTTGTAGAGTTTGGTTGAATATTAACCAGTGTTTAAAGCTGCCTTGTAAGTCGGAATTTTTCCTTGATGCAATCTGGATATGGATATGCATTCTGTGATGATTTTTAGGTTGTAATTGTTCCTTCTTCAGCTCTTATTACCGAGTGACTAGTAAGTCTCCCCGTTATGTGATCAACTCAGCCAACATTTCTTCTCTTTATGGAGTTCTGTGCTATGTCAGAAATTAAACTCCATTTCCCTGGAATATGGTCTTACATAATTCTTCAGCAGGGCTTATGAGTTGTATTTAACTGTGACTTAATGATCTATCAATGTATTTCCATCCTCTTCAGAAGTTACATTAATTTCATCATGTCATTGATTAGGTGCAATATTGCTGTTATTTTTATGACTGAGATGGTGGTGGATCACAGTGTGAGAGAAGATTGGGCTCTTCATCTACCATTATTACTTCATGCTGTCTTCTTAGGTAAGACTGGATCTAAGAGGAATTCTAGCCAATAGGATCAAAAACCTATAGCTGTAATCCAGAGAGCCTTCCTTTTACATTGACATCCTGCTTTCCTCATTTCTGAAAGATTGAGTCTCTTCCATTTTTCATTGCTTCTGTGTGACATCTGCTCTACAATTTCAGTTGATCAGTCATTGTTTAAAATTGCCCTATTACTGCAATATAGAGTGGTACCTTGTTAATGCTATACCTATAAAGATACCCAAAACAAGTGGGACCTCTTTGAGGGTCTTTGGCTAGATGTGATAAATTTAAAGCCATGAGACACTGTCAGCGCATAGAGAAAAAGAACGTAAAGCACAGTCGGCCAAGCACTGAGATTTTAAAAGAGCCAGATTATAGAGCAAAAACGGGGAGAGGAACAAGCCAGGGAGATTCAGAAATTTAGTTAGAGATGAACAAAGTTAGAATCCTTCAGTTAACAGGGAGATCCAGGGAAGAGAACATCCCACAAAGGAGGAATGCTAACCATGTCAAATGCTACTGAGAGGTCAAGAAAAGTCCATCTATCAGCATTTTATGAGAACATTTGATTTGAGGAATAAAGCATTTTATTTTTCCTAAGCCCAACTTCTTTATGTTGGTAACACAAACAATAACAAAGAAAACCGAACATTCTTTTAACATGTTCCTCCCGAGTGACTTGGAATCTTTACTATCCCTGGAATCTAAACGAGCTTAAAACTTGTTTATACTAAGAGATTCCACTGTTTTGTTCCAGGTTTGGACCATTACCGGCCTGAAGTCTTTGAACACAGCAAAAAATTGCTTCTTCACCTCTTGATTGCCCTCTCTTGCAACAGTAATTTTCATGCCATTGCTTCTGTGCTCCTGCAGACTCGAGAGATGGGCGAAGCTAAGACTCTCACAGTTCAGCCAGCTTATCAACCAGAGTATCTCTACACAGGTAATGAAAGGAGTGGCAGAGAGCCTGAGACAGAATCACAAATGCGAAGGTAACTTACGGTGTCAGTGGAGCCCAAATTAACTTCCCTAATGTGATCACCTCCCAACTTTCCAAGCGAGCAAGTAGCAGCACCATAAATATACACCATTCCACCTGATGGTTAACGTGGTTCTCAAAATCCTTCTTCACTATTGAATATTTTCAAATGTCTTTTTCCTTATTATTATGCTTGCTGCTCTCATTAAATATGCTCCTACTGATAACATTGAAAATTAAGATGCCCTTTGGCCAAGAGCATCAGTCTCAAACACTGAAGGATGAGAATGCACAAAACAGTGACCTTCTCCATCACCTTGAGAGCAGGTCATTGCCAGGGTGCCCGATGTATCACTTGTGTACCTTCTAGTTCCCCTGAAGGAATTTTCACTTTATTAAAGTGACTGATTTTTCTGGAAGGCACCATGAGTGGAAGTCTACTGAGAACCATTGCTGTTTTATTTTTTTTATTTTATTTTTTTTAAGATAAACTTTCTTTTTTTTTTTTTCAAAGATTTTATTTATTTATTAGAGAGCGAGCGAGAGAGAAACAGCATGAGAGAGGAGAGGGTCAGAGGGAGAAGCAGGCTCCCTGCTGAGCCGGGAGCCCGATGTGGGACTCGATCCCAGGACCCTGGGAGCATGACCTGAGCCGAAGGCAGTCGCTTAACCGACTGAGCCACCCAGGCGCCTGAACCATTGCTGTTTTAAAACCAAAATTTTCTTCTTAGAAATGAGAACAGAAAGCATTAGCTGAGTCATGTTTGAGTCAAATTACTCTGCTGTTTCGAGCTATTCATGAAAACTTTCCCAGAAGGGTTGGCCAGCGGTTTTCATTTAGAATCAGAACATTTAAAATATCTTAAAATGAGAATGAACTAACATTCCTGACTATTTTGTGCATTACATTGGCACTGGATGTGGTATGGCACTTCATATGTCATCGCATACTTTATTCATAATCTTGAAGAGGATGTGCCTTTTACTCATCACTTGTATTCAGTGCTGTCTTGTCCTTTGACAGACGTTAAGATATTTCTTTGGAAAACAAACATGAAGTCACTAAGTCTGAGATATCAGGACTACTGATCTCAGTTTAAGCCCTTTATTTTAAACCAAGCTACACTTTCTTGAAAATAACCCATCAATAGCCACTCAGAGACATAAAACTCTTTTACTGTAGATGTTTAATTAAAAGAATCTGAAGACTTCTGGCTGTCCTAATTCCCCACAATAAGGAGGTATTCCATTAAGCACATGGTCTTAGATTGAGAACATTGTAATGTCCATTAAGTTGTGTATCCCTGAGTGCATCAGTTTTGTATTCACTATACCATGGTGTGGCATGAAGTGGAGATTTACAGAACAAAACACAATATACCATAGTCGAGACAAACAACAGATAGCTAAAATGATTGAATCTATAGCATACGTGGAATAGGGGTACGAAGGGTTTGGAACATGTCTCCTCTTCATAAACATTTACTAATACTTACTGAACACCTAGTTTCAACTATGGTTCCTTTTAAATCCAGGCTAAAAACTTGTGTGATTGTGTGATAGAAATTATTGTCTTACTCTTTTATAATAGGAAACTAAGGTACAGAGAAGTTATATAAACTCCCTAAGACTGCACAATAAACAGCAGGGATGATATTCAGGCCTACAGCTCCTCACTCCTATTTCAGGGTATCTGTCAGATTCTATGGACTTTTTATGATTATTAAGTAGGAGAAAAGGGATGGTTGTGTATATACATTTTCAAACCAACAACACATCCAGAGTTGTAGAATGGTAACCAAATATGAGGTGGGAAAAAAAAACATAGTATTTATTTCTACCATATTTCTTTGACTGCCATGCAATATATTTTATTAAAACATATTAATATGCACATAATATTTACAGTTGTAAGTTCATTTACTCAAAACATTATGTATAACTTATCAATTACTAGGTGCTGGTATCCTCAAAAATGGTATCATTTGCCTGATGTAAGTAGTCTAATACCCAGGAATAATTTATGAACAGCACAGTTGGGTCCACATATATAGTGGAACTGTTTGTGGGTCTGTGCACATGTGCATGCGTGTGCACATATTTGCATGCACACATGCACACACACGCACACATGCACACCCTTCTTTTGCAGAAAGCATCGATTCACACACCAGAGTAGAAAACAGCAGGTCACACCCCTATTACCAATGACACCCTGGTTTACATGGCAGTGCAACTATTCCAGAAGCAAGGAAAGAATATCAGTCTCATTTCATCATAACCACAGCCACAATCAAATGTTTTCTCTAAAACATTTAAATAACTACACGCTTCTGTTTGCTCACCTCCTAACCACATGAAGCACCCTGCCTACCACATTCTGCCTTGACCTTCTTGTCCCACCAGGTGGCTTTGACTTCCTGAGAGAGGACCAGTCATCCCCAGTGCCAGACTCTGGGCTGAGCTCCAGTTCCACGTCCTCCAGCATCAGTCTGGGGGGCAGCAGCGGGAACCTCCCGCAGATGACCCAGGAAGTGGAGGACACGGACACAACTGCTGAAGCGGATGAGAAGGCAAACAAGCTCATTGAGTTTCTGACGACCAGGTAGTGAGGGGTCAGGAGACAGGGGCCTGTCTTTAGGTTGTTCTTTGGGGGGAAATGTTACCCGTTTAAAACCACACAGATGGAAAAGCGAGCTCTCAGCTTTAGCAAAGCCTTCTTTTCTCTTCAAAATTGCATCTGCTGGAGTCTGTGCACCAGGTAGATCCTGGCAGAAGTTGTCTAAGATCCCACTGATGGCACACTTGATGGGCAGGAGGTTTCACGGACAAAGACAATGCAGCAGATGGAGACAGGACACAGTAGCGCCCCACCCTGAGGATGACTTTAATCATCTATTAGAGCTGCCAGGATCTGGGAGTTCTGAGACTTGGCAAAGCACATCGCTCTGGAAACCAAATATATTAGCCATGGTCAACCCAGGAGCAGCTGCAGAGGGAACCATTGTCTGCTCATCTAATCCAGAGTCATTGATAAATGGAAGTCAGAAACAATAGGAAGCATGATAGGAAAGGAAGCAAACTGATGATCAAAATCAAGAAAAGCTGCAAGCAATCCTGTTCTTTGTCTTTTTGTCTTCTGGTTCTCCTACTGAACAATTTAGCTTGTAAGGCTTCAGAATTTCCAGCATCCCAGGGTCCAGTATTTCTATTAAGAAAACCATGCTGTATGGGGGAGGAGCTGCTCTCCTTTCTCAGTGCATTAAATCCTGGAAGTCTAGTCTGTGTAGATGTTATCTGATACCCACGATTTTTCTTTCTTCCACCAATGTATCAATTAATGCAAAAAATGAGAAAAGCATTTTCTTTCCTCAGTTAATTTCAGAGTATTCTTTGCAGCTCTCCGCCCAGTATAGGTTTTAATGAACAGGAAGCTTCAGAAGGGGGCTGATGGTGCCTACAACCAGGGTATCTCAGAGACCTGCATGGTTTGCGGAGAATCAAAGTATGCTCACCACTCAACACCGTCAGTACCACATGTTCACATGTTGGGAAGAGTGGTCTCTGAAATTCTCACATCCGGCTCCATCCTGTTCTTCCTGTTGAAAACCAAGTGCATATCAGAGGCTGTATCTTCAATTTGTTTCTACAGTATTTGATAGCCTGATGATATGATCCTGATAAAAGCAATTATCTCTGCAAATCTAAAATGTACCTATATTTTAATTAACATTTTATATCACTTTATTTGACAAACATGTAGCACCTATTATGTGTAAACACTATTCTGGTGAATTGAGAGGTTTTAATTTCGTGAGTAAATTTTGTGAGGTTTTCATTTTGTGAGTAAAACATAAGAAAAAATATACCTCCGTAAATTAACTAGATCTGTTTTGAGTATGCTCTTAAGCTTTACAAGACTGAAATTAACCCCACATTAATCAGTAAAATTTAAAAATCATATGGTGCCCTGGGAGTTACAACTGCATACATGGTTTTAAAAATGCAAAATGATTATATTTAAATGGTTATATTTTTAACATTTTGTATGTTTTATTTAAGGGCATTTGGTCCACTTTGGTGCCATGAAGACATCACACCCAAAAATCAAAATTCAAAGAGTGCTGAACAGCTCACTAATTTTCTACGTCATGTTGTATCTGTATTTAAAGACTCCAAATCAGGTACTTTATCCTGTTTCCCCAAATGCCACTTCTAACATTCCATGTAATGGAGCATATTCTTCCCATTATGACCACACACTTCATATATATATAGTTCTGCATATAGCATGTGTGTGTGTGTGTGTGTGTGTGTGTATATATGTATATATATATATTATATAGTATATATAGTTCTGCATTGAGCATTGATAGCAAAAGAATAAAGAATATTCATTGGGGAGCTTTGAGGTTTATTTCAGATGTGCCTAACTGAATGATTGTTAATGTCTTGTATTTTTGCATTATGCTCGATCAAATAATTCCCAAAGGTCACTGTTCTCCTTGCTTCGTTTACCTTACTAGAATTAAACTATGCCCTATAATATTAATTTTATTTAAAGAAGGCCATGACACAACACACATATGAAAAGATGCTCAACATCACTACTCATCAGGTGCAAATCAAAATGACAATGAGATATCACCTTACACCTATCAGAATGACTAGAATCAAAAAGACAAGAAATGACAAGGATGTGGAGAAAAAGGAACCCTCAGGCTCTGTTGGTGGGAATGTAAATTGGTACAGCCGCCATGGAAAACAATATGGAATTTCCTCAAAACATTAAAAATAGAAATATCAAGTGATTCAGTAATTTTGTACTGGGCATTTATTCAAAGAAAATGAAAACACTAATTTGAAAAGATACATGCTCTCCTATGTTTATTGTAGCATTATTTGCAATAGCCAAGATAGGGAAGTAACCCAAGTGTCCACTCATAGATGAATGGATAAGGAAGACGTGTGTGTGTATGTATAGATGTAGATATATATCTGTTCCATGTATATTCCGTTACATATAATATACATACTATACATATACATAATAAACATATATAATGGAATATATAATAGAATGTATCATAATATATACAGCCAAAAAAGGATGAGATTTTTGCCATTTGTGACAACATGGATGTTCCCAGAGGGTATTATGCTAAGTGAAGTAAGTCAGACTGAGAAAAAAAAAACAAAACAATATGATTTTACTCATACGTGGAATCTAAAAAACAGATGAATAAACAAATAAAAGCAGAAGCAAACCTATAAATAAAGAGCACAAACTGATTGTTGCTGGAACAAAGGGAGTAGGGATATGGGCAAAATAGGTAAAGGGGAGTAGGAGGTACAGGCTTCCAGTTATGGAATGAATAAGTCACAGGGAAAAAAGGTACAGCATAGGGAATCTAGTCGATGATATTGTAACAGTGTTGTATGGTGACAGATGGTAGTTACACTTCTGGTGAGCACAGCATAACATATAGAGAAGTTGAATCACTATGTTGTACGCCTGAAACTGGTGTGACATTGTGTGTCAAGTATACTCAAATTTTTAAATTTTACACAACAAAGAAGGGCATGAGTAGTAAATCTTATTGACTGTATTCAGATTCAGCTGTGAAAAATTGTCAGACTTGAAAACTGGTTAGAAAAAGAATTTTGTGATAAAATGTTAACTTTGAGAGTATTTGCTAGTAATTCCTATGCTAATGATCATTCAATATTCTGAACACAGTATGATTCTTATTTAGACTATAGCTGCATCGTGATGTTTAAGCCCTTAGCTGTATACCATTTAGATTCAACTTGGCAGGGCCGGTTTGCATGTGAAATTTAAATTTGGTTCCCCAGCATGATGCAACAAGTGTCCATACCTTCTTCCCCCACACCAGGCTGGCCACAGGAAAGATGGCTCCCTGGCTTTCCCAGCTCCTCTGATGATTAGCACACCTCACAGTTCGGAACATTCCAGACTAGTCACATCTCTTCTAGTTATCACAGGGTGCTTTCAAAAAAAAAAAAAAATACTGATAAACTGACAGGAGAAACTCATTTCAGGAATAGGATTCACATTTCTCGTTTTGAGTGTCTCCTTTGGAATATTTTTGAAATATTAAGGCCTCTTACCTCGGTATTTCCCTAAAAGTCATTTAATAATTGAACATAATCCAAAGGAAGAAATTTATTGTTTGTGTGTGAACCATTAATTTGTCTAAAACCTTAGATTGTATGAAGATAATAAAAATGAGAAAACACACAAATCCCTTTACTGTTTCCTCAGAGGGTGCTTAGAGGCTGTCTTTCCACATCTTACCCCGGATACTCTTACTCACTACTGTTTCCCTGTACAGCCTTGCTTTGTGCCCGTTTCCACTGTAGCAGGATAAAACGTGTTCCGGGAGACGCTTGTATTAGAGTAGCATAGTGGCTATGACACACAACCCCCAAAGTTCAGAGGCTAACATAGTAGAAGCTTACTTCTAGATCCCATAACAGGTCAGCGTAGATGTTTGTCCAGTGGCCTTCCACATGGCGCTTCACAGACCCTCCGTCCTGTGGCTCTGTCACCCCCATTACTCAGAGGCCTCTCCTTAACCCTCCTCACCCAACCAGCAGGTGGAGGAAGAGCGTAGGTGGAGGATCACTCAGGAGGGATTTACACCACACCAAGCTCAAACGTGGCATCCAAGGTTTCTTCTCACATTCCACTGGCCAGAACTCAGGCCATGAGATCACATCTAGCTGCAGGAAAAGCTGGGAAATGTAGGGTTGCTGTGTGACACATTAAATAGCCTTTCTTTAAGGACATTGTCATAGTTGCGCTGGGGTTCTGCAATCCTCCTAGCGTCCTTCTAGCCTTCAGGTCCATGGTGATATAAATAACGTTTTAGTTCATCAACAGAGAATCTAACCCCACACATAATAAAATTAAGTAGGAAAATAAAACAAAATGAAGGTAACAAATTGTGTTTTGAAACACCATCCATTGAACGGCCTGTATGGGTTTAATCCTGTGTTTACTACCCTGAGTATGCATGCCTAAGTCCATTTTCCAGGACCCTTTGTCTGCTGAGCAGGAACATTCTCTTATATAGTCTACAGGTCCCTAGGGCCAAACAGCCTGGCAGCAGCTAAGAACAATGACATTAAATTATCCTTCCTGATTCACTTTTTTTTTTTTTAAAGATTTTATTTATTTATTTGAGAGAGAGAGAGCACATGAGAGGGGGGAGGGTCAGAGGGAGAAGCAGACTCCCCGCCAATTAGGGCGCCCGATGCGGGACTCGATCCCAGGACTCCAGGATCATGACCTGAGCCGAAGGCAGTCGCTTAACCAACTGAGCCACCCAGGCGCCCCTTCCTGATGCACTTTTATGTGACAATCAAATGTACCACAGAGCCCTCTAGATCACAGAGACAGCCAAAATCACTGTTTCCATCATGTCCTCTGACTTTGTAGTCAGGTTTTCTCCTGCAGAGACACAGCAGAAAGTACAGATAGTGGTCCAGAATTCAATCATGTGCTTTACCTTACATTTTCTTTTCCATCTGATCAAGTGGTTTTCTGATGACTGAGACGACCTTCATGCTATTGGAAGAACCAATATTCAGGCGAGAGTTTAAATGATCGCTGCCTTCTTGGCAACATCTACATTTCAATATCTGCATATTTATGGACTATTCTGAAGAGCAGTGACTTTGCTATAGGCTTTGGTTGTGTTTAAAATTGACTAGATCCACTAACAGCTTTCTTTTACATACACAAGTACTCTGAAAACTTGTTCCCAACACATTCTTTTATGAAAACAGGAGTCAAAGTATTCCATGCAAAAAAGGAGTTCAGAAGAACAGTGTAGAAAAATAGTAGGGCAACAAACAAGAATACATTTGTGAGTCGGTATTATGTGTCAGACGCTGTACTAAAAGCATTTTTTGAATTGTTGAATTTCTACAACAACTCTAGGAGTTGGATACTGTTATTCTCCAGTTAAAAATAAGAAAACAGGCTCATAGAGAATACATTTCTTTCCCAGCGTCTCAAAACCCGTCGTTCAAAGCTAGAACCATCTTGCTTCAAAGCTTCTGACTGTTTCTACTGCGCTATGCCTCTTGAAGATCTATCCAAATTTGGGGGGTTTTTAAATTTTAAAATGGTTAATTCCTAAACAAGTACCACCAGGAGGCAGCTCTGTGCAGGTAACCTGATTTACGCCTATAGATAACTAGTGACCGCAGGGTTTGAGGAGTATGAGTTGACCTACCTCTGGCCCCTTGGTGCCTAGGTTTCCACCTGGAGCAACATTTGAGTGAAGTTGCATTGCAGACGGCCCTTGCAAGCTCCTCAAGGCACTATGCCGGTCGGTCCTTCCAGATATTCCGGGCGCTCAAGCAACCTCTGTCAGCACACGCCTTGTCTGACCTTCTTTCCAGACTGGTGGAGGTGATCGGAGAACATGGAGATGAGATTCAGGTATGGAAGGAAAGACCACTGAACGCGTTCTCCTTCTCTCATGTCAAAGATGAAGCCTTAACAGCTTTCTTTGAGCCTTCTTTCTCTCGCAATTATTCCAACCATTTGGGCATATATAATTTATTTTAAAAAATTTTTAGAGATTAACTTTTATATTTACAAAAAGCACTTCAAGGAGCATTGTTCTAGAAATCCAGTGGCTATTGGTTTATTGAGCCAACCACTGAAAATCCCTTAGGGACTCCTTCTTGGTGGTTTTTGTTGTTGGTTTTATTTGACGGGGAATCGGGGAATTATTTGTATTGTTTTTGTCTTTTTGTCACCAACCTAGGATGCAGTTGTGCTGTCTCCCTACCCAGAGAAGGGATCTCCATTATGTCTATGCAAAGCACTACCCCTCTCTGTATAGCTAGCCTTCAGTACACTGAGAAGAGCTGAAGAAGTAATGGAGGGAGTAGATACCACAAGAAGAAAGACCCTGTAGGTAGAGCCCAAGGACTGGGGAGCTGGTTGAAAGCCAAGGGCATTACAAGCTCTGCAGCTTGAGCCAAGCCCTTCTTTCCCTTCTTTTCCATCAGAAAAGCTACTATATCCCAGGAGACCTGCACACCTGTGAATTCTAGCCTCTTTTCCTCTTTCCAGCCATTGGATGTGCTCTTCAAAATATCACTGAGGCACAGCCCTTCTCATACCTCAGCTCTTATCTCTGGCTGAGACATTGCCACTCTGTCTTTCAAATGCCCGCCATCCCCCTCAGCAAGGGGCCATGACTGCCACCTTTAGCCTTGCCCTCTCCCTGTTGGATTTCAAATGAGATTGAGCTGTTCAGGACCTCAGATCTCAGGAAATAGATCTTTGTGACTCCCTAACAGCTAAGCCATCTGCATTTCCTAAGTGGCCCTTAAAATTTGTTTTTAGACTTGGTCAGTTACAGTAACAATGGCTGTCTAGCCCTCAGTAATATTAACATTAGACTGAATAAAGTTTGCGTTAATTAAATTTATCTTCAGGAAGTGAGCAGGAGTTTTAAGCAGTACAAAATGTTATCTTTGCATGTCTGGCAGGGTTACGTAATGGAGGCACTCCTTACGTTGGAAGCTGCTGTGGATAACCTGTCTGACTGCTTGAAGAACAGCGATCTCTTAACGGTATTATCTCGGTGAGAAGCAGCTTCATGACTCCTGAAATCAAATAGGCTGGACTGAATATTTGAGAGATGCCTGGACTTTGGGCAAAGTCCAAAGAACACATCTAGTTTTTGATATATGACTTTTTCTTTAGTTTAAAAAAAAAGAGAGAAAGTTATGGGGCACCCAATATATACACATTATATAAGTATTTTTAAACATTAGGAAGATAGAGGAGAAATGTTACTTTAAAATAATACATATATTAATACTTTTTCATTTTCTGTGTTATGTCTTTGAGTACTTTTTCAAATTTTATTTAATAATTATCCTATTTATTACCTTATAAACAGAAACCAAAACTAAATGTTATTTTTGAATGAATATATACAAAACTCATCTGAATCATCACTATAAAAACAGTTAGAATTAATGTTGATTTTACTTGAATAAATCCCTATCTTAGGATCTTTCTTTTTTATTTTTGTTCCTTTTGCTCTTGCCAATGTTTACCCATTTCAAGTCATTCACAATTCTGTATTCTGTTTGTATAATTGAGCTCATTTTGCTTGAAATTGAGTCAGTAATGTTATCATAAATCACGCTGAGCCTTGTTTCACTTTTAAGTTGAGCATTTTTTATGGATAGGTGATTTTAGTATGATACCTAACATCATACACATTTTCTATATAAACCTGCAGATTTATCTCAGTCAGTAAGAATTTAGCAAGAATACTGATGAAGAGTTTTATCTTTTCAGCCTGAAATAGGCTTAGAGATCATTTCTCATAGATATTTTATAAGCATAAAAAATTTCCTTTGATGCAGTTACTAACTTTTTTCTTTCTAGATGATATCCTTTCCATTTCTGTTCTTATCAGTCAGTTAATAGAATATTAAATTGTGTGCCTATCAGGTATACTCTATTTCTAAATTACTCCTGCCCAAAGTCAAACAAAAATATAAATGAAAGATCAGTAAACTTTACCACCAACTGCTCTTCTTTAGCCTTTCAGTAAGTCAGTATTAGGTTTTGTTGCTGTTTTGTTCGTGAGGTTTCTCATTGTTTTGTTTTTCATAGCTTTAAGTTTAGGAATAGAAAGTTTATTCCTGTAAGCTTAAGCATATGAGAAAAAAATAATAGTATTTCCAAAGAACGATTTCCCTACCTTATTATTTGTCAGTGGATCTTAAAAGGACTGGCTCTTCACTGAAGCATGTTGGCTTTCTTTTGAACTTTTTTACTTTTATACCCAGCTCTTCATCACCAGATTTAAGCTCTAGCACTAAACTAACAGCAAGCAGAAAGAGCACAGGACAACTAAATGTGAACCCTGGGGCGGCCAGTGGCAATACGGCAACCGCAGAACGGAGCCGGCATCAAAGAAGCTTTTCTGTGCCCAAGAAATTTGGTGTTGTCGACCGATCCTCAGACCCACCCCGGAGTGCCACACTGGACAGAATTCAGGCTTGTACCCAACAAGGCCTGTCCTCAAAAACAAGAAGCTCATCTTCCTTGAAGGACAGCCTCTCAGACCCATCACACATAAACCATCCAACCAACTTGTTGGCCACCATCTTTTGGGTCACAGTGGCCTTGATGGAATCTGATTTTGAGTTTGAATACCTAATGGCCTTGAGGCTGTTGAACAGGCTACTGGCTCACATGCCACTTGATAAAGCTGAGAACCGAGAAAAACTTGAAAAACTCCAGGCACAGCTCAAGTGGTCAGACTTCTCAGGGTTGCAGCAGCTGCTGCTGAAAGGATTCACCTCCCTCACCACCACCGACTTGACCCTGCAGCTTTTCAGTTTGCTCACACCAGTATCCAAAGTATCCATGGTGGATTCATCCCAAGCCATTGGTAAGGCCAACATCACTCATTCTCTTGCAGTTCTAGTGGTGGTTGTGTTAGTGTTGAGTGTGATATGGTAATGGGCTTAGTACTTTCAACAATTCTGTTTAGAAATTGTTCTTTGGGAGTAGTTTGTCATTTCTTACTTAAAACTATTTAAATTGTGGGAGACATGTTTAAGGCAATAGCGTAACAGGGGCAGAAGTTATATATTAATGATTTCTTTGTACTTTCCAGATCAAATCACAGGTACTGTCAGTTTATTCCATTGTTCTTGTACAGATAAACCTTTTTTCTATTTTTTCTTAACTCCTAAATCTTTCTTGTTTTCTTAGCTTTTTTTTCCCCCTCTTGAAAATTTGCTTGGTTCCCTATCATTTTGAATCAAGCCAAATCACCAGCCATATTTTTAATACCATGGCATGTGGCCCAGACTTCTCTTCATGAAGGTAGAGCTTAACACAGTGGTACTAAGCCATTACTTACCATTTTAAAGAGTCTTTTTGATTACATTACATGAGTAAGACTTAAATTGGTTGGCCTATGCCCTCTCATACAAGCTTTTCTTAAAATACGGTTTTTGATAAAAGTTTCAGACTAGCGCTTCAGTTCATTTTAATCTGCTTTTTAAAATCTCTGCCAGTCATCCTGATTCACAGCCCATAGCAAGATAGTCACCATATCTCAGAATTACCCATCTACTTCAAGTTCCTCCTCTATAACTGGTGTCATTGTGGTTGTACCCTTTTTTTCCTGGATTTTGTGTTAGATCACAGTAAAACTGGTTCAAAAGACTGCTTTTGCATCACCTTGGGAAGAAATCTGCAATATTCCTTCCCACGGTTAACAGTTAAAATGCACCATATTCAGCTATCTCTACTGCATCTTCTCTGATCCAGGGTTTCCACTGAATGTGTTGTGTCTCCTGCCCCAGCTGATCCAACATTTTGAAAATCCCAATCAGTTCTGCAAGGATATAGCCGAAAGGATTGCTCAGGTATGATTTCTGCCGCCACACTCAGGTGGATCCATACAGGCCTTCCGGAAGGTCCAATGCTAAGCAGAAATTGCCCTGAAAGGGAAATGAGTTTCACAAAACCTGAAAATCATAACTGTGATATGGCTAGTAATTCACATCTCTGAGTAGCCAACGCACATTGTCTTGTGGTTTCATTATTGAGAAGACAGGTGGAAAGAATCTGTGAAAATTATATTAGCTAATGACTAAGATAAGCACTTCTGCATCTTGCACACACACACACACACACACACACAAAAAGTATCAATGTGTTTTCCAGATTCCAAAGCACAACTGCAAACATTGCAGTCTTACAGCAAAATTTCTGACACATCTTCCTGCTCATCAGGCTATTTTATCCCTAATTGATTTTCTTCTCTTAAAAGGTGTGTTTGGAAGAAAAGAATCCCAAACTTTCCAATCTTGCACATGTCATGACTCTCTATAAAACACACAGCTACACGAGGGACTGTGCCACGTGGGTCAACGTGGTCTGCCGATACCTTCACGAAGCATACGCTGACATTACCTTGAATATGGTGACCTACCTGGCAGAGGTAAGCTCTTCAGTTAAGGATACCCACTATAGTTTTCATGGGTAAAAAATTTACACGGAATGGATAATAATCTCTTCATTTATTGAGTGCCTATTACATATTATCGTAGATGCTGTATGAAGCATTTTAAATCCTCACAACAACGCAGTGATGAGGACGCTATCCTCAAAGAATCTGAGGCCCAGCCAGGTTAAATAACCTGCCACATGTTTAAGGTGGCAGAGCCAGCCTTTGAACTGGGGTATACCTGCCTCAAAAACTTAAATTCCTTATTTTTACTGCACTAATACCTGTCAGTACCTTCCAGAAATGAGGAAATTGTATCCTAATTACTCCAGGTGTTCAAATCTTATTTAGGGGGTTACTGTGTGACTTGGTATGTTTAATCGTTGTTTGCTCTAAACCAATTAGCAAAGCATCTATTTTGAAATAAGCTTTTTATCTTCATCTTTAAGTTTGTTTTTTAAACTTGAATGGGACTTTCGTCCTCATACAACTGTGTTTCTAGCACATTGGTTCCAAGCCCCATGTCCTTCGTCCTGGAAATACATAGCATATCGGACAAGTGACGAAATGTATTCTGGTAGCACCTCTGGTCACTCACTAGCTTAACACACAAGGTCGTGAAATCTGAGTGAAATGGCCGTAACAGTCACCTCGGTTTAGCATATTCACCGTTGCTTTTGCTTGAGGGATGTGCATGCATACCTCTTGCTAGGGCCTTTTCAGAAGTGACGAGGATGGTACATTCTAACTTCTCTTTGTTATGTCACCAGAACAGGGTGCAGATAGGCTAGAGAGTCAGTCGTCCTCTGAAAGGCTCCACAAGACTGAACTCTTGTACCTGGAAGAGGGTCCTTGCCCTATCCATCAACACTGATAGCTGATCTGCAGGATTTTGATTTGCGGTCTGGGTCAGCAATATGTGAGCGGCATTCAGACTGTCAACAGCCAAAGGTCCTTTCCACACTCCATCCCATCCCTGGCACTTTAAGGAGCCTCTCTTATATGCCACCCTGCTGCTTTGGATAATCACCTTGGTCACATCTGTCCCTGCAAGAATTACTAAGAAAGCACACACATACTGGGACAACCAACGTAAATGCCCTGCTTATGAAGGCAGACGATGCCTTTTTTTAAAACAAAGTGAAGTGTAAGTTAGCAAGGAGGTAAGACTTGCTTGGATCACTAGACATGAGGTTTCAAAAGTACAAATGGGATGTGGCATATGCATGCATACACACTATTCAGACTTAAAGAGGAACCAAGCATCGACACATAGCACGCCATGGGTGAGCCTTGAAAACATCATGCCAAGTGGACGAAGCCAGACGCAAAAGGACAAATATAACAGGAACCCACTTCTGTGAGGTGCACAGAATAGGCAAATCTGCAGTGATAGAAAGTAGAACAGTGGTCACCAGGGGTTGGGGACGGGGTAATGGAGCCTTAGCATTTTACATTTAACAGAGTTTTCATTTGGGATGATGAACAAATTCTGGAAACAAATAGTGGCCATGGTTACACAACAGTATGAATACACTTCATGCCCCTGAATTGTACACTTAACAGTGGTCAGAGTGGTAAATTTAGGTTATGTACATCTTGCCACAATAAAAATAAATGAGAACGGATTACCTAATTTGTTCTATTGGGCCTTTGTCACAAACTGTCACTGAAAATTTTATTATAAACTTCACTCCCCACAGTATATATTAAATCCTAATTCAAGTACTCATGTGCTCTTTCAGGTGTTGGCCAGGCACATACATGTAATTTTAGGTAGCTACGGTCAGTATTTCCTGTGAGCCTGCTCCGTTCACGTAGCATTAACTTTGTGCTCACACAGTGTCACATTCAACAACTGTGGGATTCTAACAGGTTAATGTAACCCAATGTGCTTAAACATCTCCTCTGTTGCTTATATTCATAATCTTTTTCTATTACAAATGGTCCTTTTATGTAGACTTCTTATCGGATAACATCCAGGTGATTTCTTCTGGTGGCATTTCCCAAAGTAACTATTCACGTAAAGGGCATGGATACATGAATACATTATTTAGTTCTACATATTTGGGAAATTGGTCTTCACAGAGATTGCCCCTATTTACAATACTGCCAACAGTGTATAAACGTGTTTTCCGATATCCTCACTGTATTTTATTATCCCTTTTATTCCTTTTTTCAGTTTTATATTTTTATTGGTACTTTAAAATTATTCTCTTTGTGTATTTCCTTTCTAGGAAAAATGTTCACTTTTCCATGCACTAGATTTTCCAAATTGTTCATTTCCTCATGTGTTAACTGCTCAGTTACTTCTTCTGACCACTTTTGATGTGGAATTTCAGCATTTATTTGAATCATTTCTACGGTTCTTTGTTTTGAACAGTAACTTTTTATCGTGATGTCTGTCACATAAATCTTCTCATTATTTTGCTTTCTTTTTTTAAAATAGTGTTGATATCATAGTATATGTCCATAAAAGAAAGTTTAGTAGGTACAGAAAAGTGGGGAAAAGAACAGGAGGGGGAGATTAAAAAAAAAAAAATCATCCAAAATCATTATGTTATCTAGAGAGAAACACTGTTAACATTTTGTTAGATTTCTTTCCATTGTTATTTCTCTGTAACACCCACCCATTCACATCGATTTTGGCATCATCCACTATACAGAAATTGCATATCCTTCCTCTTTGACTTAATATTATCCGATAGCCTTTACTATCTTTAAAAATGTCATTCTCGGGCATCTGGGTGGCTCAGTGGGGTAAGCATCTGCCTTTGGCTTAGGTCATGATCCCAGGGTCCTGGAATCGAGTCCTGCATTGGGCTCCCTGCTCAGCAGGGAGTCTGCTTCTCCCTCTCCCTCTACCCTTCCCCCTGCTCATTCTCTCTCTCTCTCTCTCAAATAAATAAAAATCTTTAAAAATGTCATTCTCTTGATTATATGTTTCATCATCCAATTTACCATAATTTTGTATCCATTTCCCTAGTGTTCAACATTTATATTGCTTGCAGAGCTTTCTTATTTAGTTTTTTGTGGGTTTATTACCATTATAAATAATGCCTTGCTGAAATCTCATATATAAATCTTAGTGTCTATAGGTTTGGAAAAGTTCCTAGAAGGATAATTACTATTTCAAAAGCTATAAACTGTTTTTAGTACTCTTGAGGCCAATTGCCAAATTATCCATGTTACATTTCCACTGATGTGTAAGAATACCCATCTTTTATCGTCAACCATACTATTTTCACTTGGGAAACTTTGCCAGTTTGCTAACTAATAACTTGTGTCTTTTGTGTTACTTTGTAATCTCCAATAATTAGTGGTATTTGATGCTTTCCTTTTGAGGTTTCTTGTATTCCACTGTGGATATGGTATCTGTATATTCAGAACTACTTACACTGCCTTTAATGATATCTTCATTTGTTCAGTGGTTAGGATTCTTTCCTTCCTAAGGAAACGTGCGCTCATAAAGGTGTGGGGAGGCATTGGTGCTCCTGTATGAACAGGCTGGTATCACACTGTGTCACACTATGCCTTGCCTCCCACAGCTGCTGGAGAAGGGTCTCCCCAGTATGCAGCAGCCCCTCCTCCAGGTGATCTACAGTCTGCTCAGCTACATGGACCTGTCCGTCGTCCCTGTAAAACAGTTTAATGTGGAAGTTCTGAAGACCATTGAAAAATATGTGCAAGTGAGTATTTGGATAACGTCACTTACAAACGAGGTTGTTTCCAGAGAGTCATTCCAGAAAGACTGAGGATTTGTAGCTTTTACTTGGCTGCAAAGCTGTGGTCATGCCAGCCTGCACTGGGTGCACACTCGTGCATTGGTATCTCTAAGCCACTGAGAACAGTCAGTTGTGGTTGACCACATCCCGAGTGGTATAGTGAGGGAAAGACAGGACCAGCCCTGGTGAGCTCCCGAGCCCTCAGAGGACATGTTTCTGCCTCTTGGGGCTTACGGGCTGAGTATTAAAGGCACACACCTGGCTGGGAGGGCCCAGCAGGGTTGTATTTGTAGTATCCTATTTCACAGAAGGAGAAGAGAGAAGGAACTCAGGTGTGCCAGGTTGTAGGCCAGGTGTTTCCACATGCAAAGGGTTAATTCAGGGGTTAAAATTGTCACTTTAGAGTTGAGGGAGGTGAGGTTGAGCAACTTGCCTCAGTGTGCTTGAAAATACTACAACAAATAAACACAGGCGTGTACTTGGTGAGTTGCAGAGTTCAAGGGCAGATGCAAGGTTCTGTCTGGCTAAACTCATCCATAAAGCCATACAGTGTAAATTTTAGACATTTTTCCCCTATCGTCACTTCAACATCACATTGCTTGCAGACATTATTTAATGCTAAAAATGGTTTCCAAGCCTTTATTTTCCATTTTTCAAGTGGCATTTCTCCAAAAGGCGTCGTGCACTTAGTAGGCATTCAGTAGCCCTTTCTCACTTCACAGAAGTCGTGGGGGCCAGGGGTTCGGTTCACGTTTTTCTACAAATCATGTGCCCCTGGTAAAAAGGGAAAAAAAAAATTGTTTGACTAGGCTGCCTATTCTAACTCAGGCCTGTGGGCTATCTCTGTTACTCAATATCTTCTCTTGAATGGCGGCTAATTTCACATCCAAATCATGACCTCCCCTGTGCAGAACTTAACAGTGAAGGAAATGTGTTTTCTTTCATGTGCTCTTATTCCCAAGGCTGGGTAAATAATAATAATAACTTTTACCAAGTTAGTTTATCTATGCTCAATATTTTTGTGGGAAAAGCCCATCAGTCTGCCTGGGGTTTGTCAGGGAGACAAAGATGGCAAAACAAATGAGTCTTTCAGGAAGAGTAGGCCTGGGATAAGCCGATAAGGAGAGGAAGGGCATTCCGGGACACGGGAATAACATCAGTGAAGACACAGTGGCAAAGAGAGCTTGCCTGGTGTGAGGAACTCCAGGGCCGGCCTCGGGGAGAGTACTCCTGTGGGCTGTGTTCAGAGTGTGGACTCCACCCCGCCCACCAGAGGGAGCCCTTGAAGAAGTTTAGGCAGGGAAGGGGCTCGGTCTGAAGAGTTCTAGAAAGATCACCATGGTTGGGGAGGGTATGCTGGACTTCAATAGAGGCCGCAAGCAGGGAGGCCAGTTAAGAGGCCATTGAAATAGTCCACGCAGAGGCTGGGGAGGATTCAGCTGATCCACTGCCAGCAGGAATGGAGAGGGGAGCAATTCATCCGGAGGCAGGGAAAGACAGGAGTTAAGAACGGCTCCCAGAGTCCTGGCTTAGGTCATGAGGAAGATTTGAAGTGGGAAGACAAGAGGCGCCCAGGAAGCAAAGGTGGTGGCAGGAGCTAGGGGAGTAGGAAAACAACCAAGGAAGACTGGAAGCTGGGGGTGGGGAGAGTTTTGAGAAAGAGTGAGTGGTCGATAGCCTAAATACACTGGGGGACTTTTTTATTCGTGTGAAGGAGATACCACGTTGGCAAAAATGGTAGTTTATTTAAATATGGACAAAATTTGCAATTTTTGTATTTGCTTGTTTCCTAAATGTATCTCCTCTTATATATAAATTGTTTTTTTATGTCATTTGCCTTTTACATAGGATGGAATTTGCTGCACTGTTTTCAGTCAGTGAATTCTGACTGGTCATAAGAAGTTTCGGTAGCTAGCAGTAGATTCTTTGGTTTTTTTTAAAATGAAATTGTTTTTAACCATTGAATATTTTATTCCCTTCAGAGTGTTCACTGGAGAGAAGCTTTGAATATCCTGAAGCTGGTAGTTTCTCGATCTGCCAGCCTAGTTTTGCCTTCCTACCAGCAGAGTGACCTCTCAAAGATAGAAATACATCGAGTGTGGACCAGTGCTTCTAAGGAATTACCTGGAAAAACCCTAGACTTTCACTTTGATATTTCAGAGGTATGCTATCTGTTTCTGTCCACTTCAGCAGGGAGAAACATAGCAAAGGTCAAAAAGAGGAAAGAGAGACTTATTTTACATTTATTTCAAATTAAGTTTCCTAAGGCCTAAATTTGGTTCTGTTTTTTAAGAACACATCAAGTGTCATATTCTTTGGGGCTCTCAATTGGCAGCTTCTAAAACTAGAAGCTAGCGTCAGTTATTTTTTTAAAAAATGATTTTTTTAAAAAAAGATGACTTTAAAATGGAATGATCTTAAGCATTTTAAACCATGACCTTCTTTGTATGACAGGGGTCCTGTCCTATCTTTACATCCACAACTTTGCTGTCTGAACTCCCAGCCAGACCAGCAAATGACTGAGATTTACAGGAATACAGAATCTGCCTTCACAGTTGCTTCCCCAAGCCACACTGCTTTCTAGACCCAGTAAAATTGTCTCAAGTCTTGCCTTAAGGGAGAGGAGAGGGAGAAGGGAAGGGACCAGTAAACCAAGCTAAGGAGTCAGGAAGAAAAGAGAGGGTAGGAAGTAGTCAGGTCTACCTGCAGCTCCGTGAACGGACATTTGGGAGGCCTGTACTTGGTCTAAGATGTGCAAATACTTTGTTTTCCTGTCTTGCTTACCCCAGGCCCCATAAGCCCGCCAAAGCAGAAACTACGCTCTGTCTACTTTGTTACCAGGGTCTGGTACAGTGTCTGGTGTAAGATAGAGTACTTAACAAATATTCTTCAACACTGCTGAATGAATAAATTCACCGAAGGAATGAACCGGATCTGATTCTGTGCAACTTCCTGGCTCTGTGAAGTAGGTTGAAGCCTACACAATGGTCTCATTGACCTTCTGTGCTTTCAGTACCCAGGTTGAGGTACTCCTGCTCCCCGTGTGATACCTGCAACTGTATTTAGTATGTGTATGATATCAAGGTATCCGATCAGTTGTTTTTTTAATTTTTAACATTTTTTTACATGGCTGAGGGGGAGAGCTACTTCTATTCCTTGAGTGAAGTTTATTCTGCTCAAAAGCGGTACAGAAAACAAGCAGCCAGTCGGCTGCAACCCGCAGGGGCCCAGCTGCTCCAGAATAAAGAGCTGGAGAACCAGATGGAGAATCTCCAGCCAGTGTCTGCCACCTCTGAGGGCAGGCCCACAAATGGGTTTCTGCAGCCTCGTCGGGGCTAACGTGTGGATGGTGCTGTCTACCCAGCCACAGGACACCAGCGTGAGAAATGAACTCTCAAGAAGTGAAATTTCTAAAGTGTTGCCCAAATACCTGGCCCCAAATTCATTCACTTAAATAATCGAAAAGATGTAATCAATTTAAAGAAATTTTTAAATTAATTGAGAATACTTAAAGGTTGGGAAGAAGGGAAGGAACTTTGGTCTCTTGTTACAACAATAAGAAATTCTTTTCAGCTTAAACATCTGAAAACTGTTTGCTTTCCTGAATGTTTTGCTTCTCATCTTTATCAGTGGTTTCCTGAGTATGTTTAAGAACAAGGAGTTGGATTTGCTAAAGAGGGTGGGAAAATGTTGAAGACATAAAACGATTTAGAATATGTGTTTGAACATCAGGAAAATGAGCCTACTTGTAACTCTGAACTTCTCTAAGGTTTAATCAAATGAGCAGTGCTTGGTTGCTGCTGGGTAGAGTGATCCCGTGTTCCACAGAACTATTAAGCGGATGGAAGAACGTGAACTTTTGTTTTCCTTGTTTTTGTCAAGACGCCAATCATCGGGAGGCGATACGATGAGCTGCAGAACTCTTCTGGACGGGATGGGAAGCCCAGGGCTGTGGCCGTCACCAGGAGCACATCATCTACGTCATCAGGCTCCAACTCCAATGTCCTTGTTCCTGTAAGCTGGAAAAGGCCCCAGTACTCTCAGGTATAGACTCCTAGCCTCCCAGGATTGGAAGGGAGTTCAGAGGGAACTTTCGAGCGCAACTGCCCATATGATAAGGGCTTCTCCCTTGCCATCCTGACATTGCCCATCTAGGCTTCAACACTTCAGTGATTGGCATTCCAAGGGAACCTATTTTATCTTGGAACAGCTCATTACATTTAGTTGAAGTCTGATGTTTGCTGCTTCTACCCATTGGTCCTAGTTCCCTTAAGGCTTAGCAAATGAAATGTGACCTCTCTTTCACATGGCAGTCCTTCAAATAGATAAAGAAACCCCACCCCCTCTGCATCTCACCCACATGAGCTCTCTTTTCTCCAAATAATGCATCCTTAGTTCTCCCAACCAGTTCTACATGATAAGGCTGCACAAGAATGCAGAATCTGCTTTTCTGGTTGCTTCCTCAAGCCACAGTGCTTTGTAGACTGGTAAAATTATCTAAATTCTTACACAGATGGAGAGGGGAGGGAGGAGGGAAGAGATTAGTCAATGATGCTAAGGGACCAGGAAGGAAAGAGAAGGTAGGAAGTAGTCAGATCTACCCGCTGCTCCATGAATGGACATTCGGGAGGCCTGTACTTTGTCTAAGATGTGCAAATACTTTGTTTTCCGGTGGCCCTTCTGACCACTGTCCCCCAAGCACGCACTCCAGTCATGGTCTCCATGGACAGTCTGAGCCATAGTCGGAGCAGAGCAGGCTGCTGGATCTCTCTGTAGGTCCATTCACTCACTGGGCGACTGCATTACAGCATGAGTGTCATCAGAATTGCTGTCGGGTGAAACCTCTGCATTATTCAGGGCTCTTCGGTAACTAACTTGACAGAAGCCCAGTGGAAAATTACCTCAAGTGGAAAAGGAATTTATTAACTCCCGTAGCTTGGTTTCACGCACAGCTAGATTCTAGTACACAAAACCAAGGAACTGGATCCTTAACCTCTCTCTCTCTCCCCTTCTCGCTGTCCTCCCCTTCCCTTCCCAGTGTTGGCCCTCCTTCCCTCTCTGGCGACTTCATTCTCAAGCAGACTCTTGTCTTATGAAGCACCAACAGCTTCCAGCAGCTCCAGACTTGCATGGTCTTTGGCTCTGATGATTCCAGGACAGAGGCATTCCCTCCCCAGCATCCGTAGTGATTCTAGAGAAAGGACTCTTACAACATGTGTGAGGGAGGCAAAGCCCCACTTAGTGGGAGAGGAGCTGTCCCCAAGAGAAAAAGAGGGACCGTATTGTTGGAAGAAGGCCAAATGGTGGGTGCTGAGCAGGGGACCGCAGGGCTCACCAAGATTAGGGGAGTGAAGCGCAAAGCATCACACTTGCTGGCCACAGCTGCTTCTCAGTGACGTTTCATTGAGCTGTTGAGCAAGAGAACCTACTATACTTTCTTGGGGTTCTGGAAAAGAGAAGAAAACTATCCATCCCAGTTCCAGGTTCCTCTACATTGATTCCTTCCCACAATTGTAAAATGCCCACTAAAACTTAGGAAAATATTTTAGCAAATCTCTTGCCATTCACCCACATCAAGGTCTTCCTGTCTTTGACCTTGAAAAGACACGGTATTGAGTGTCCCTTCTATAATTTTGGAAAGAAGAATGCAGTGAAGCCAAATTCCATTAAGAAAGAAAAGCTACGAGTGATATTGGCCTCCGAGCAGTCTCCACATTAACTTAAATCAGATTAAAAGGGAAAAAATCATTTTACAGAGTTAGGAAGATGGCTTTAGGAGCATTTCTGAAGTACATTAACATTTTTTAGGCCCCGGCTACTCTTCCTTTTCATTCTCAACTCACCAATCATCCTGAGATCTAGTTTATCTATGTCATTGGAAAATGTGACAAGTTTATAGAAGGATCTCCATGGGTAAGTGCCTAAAAATAAGGCTTGTGAAGAAAAGCAAAAGGAATTGAATCTGTTTAACTTCAGGAAGATTTAATATGGCTGGCAGATAATTGAATTTTTTAATTCTGTAGAAAGTAAAGTTATTCTCCCATTTGAGGAAAATAGATTTGTGCTGGAACATAATAGATTTAATTTAGGTGTAAGGAAAGCCTTGCTAATGCCGAAAGTTGTAACAGACAAGAAAAGATTATCAAGGGGAGTCAGGAGTGTCTGCTGAAGAACCCAGGGGCTGATTTTCACCCGCCCTCCATTGGGAAAACTCAGATCAGCACTGTCCAGTAGAAACATAATGTGTGTCTCATTTTAAACTAATAGTCGCCTTTTTAAAAAAAAAAGTAAAAAGAAACAGGTAAAATCATTTTTAATAACATATTTTATTTAACCTAAAACATCTCAAGTATTATTATTTCAATATGCAGCCACTATTTTGCAATTATTGAGATACTTTGCATTCCTTTTGTATATTATACGTCTCAATTCTTACTGGCCACATTTCGGGGGCCATAGTCAAATGTGGCTAGTGGCTTACAGTATTGGAACAGATTTGATCACAGGACCCCGTGATTAAAATGTATTTGTGTGTCTCTTTTCCAGAAGAGGACAAAAGAGAAGTTGGTGCACGTTCTTTCTCTGTGTGGCCAAGAAGTAGGATTAAGCAAAAATCCATCAGTAAGTTCTGTCATGTATCACGTGTATGTTGACACCATATCTTTTTTACCTTTGATCTTTTTTAGCTTTAGAGAAGTCTGCTATGAATTACAGGTATGATATCCACCATCTAGATCAAGCCTGTAGATTATTTCTCTCCACACTATGATTTTTAATCTCACTTAGTTCAGAAACAATGAATGGCTGTTTCCTCCAGTTTGTCTGCAAATAAATATTCAGTTGTTTTCATTGTTTAAAATTTCTTGGATTTTTTTTTTTATAAATATGCTCAGACGTCCTTATTTATGACTCTCTCCTGCACCACGATATTTAATAAACATTCCTTTGGGGTGTAATTTTACTCTGTGTATGCATGCCTCTTCCTGTGATGTCATTATTTTATGCACAATAGGGATGGAAATAACGATATATCATTATGGGATTTTTTTCTCTTATAAACATCCGCTGATGTTACAGTTAAAACAGAACAACAACATGCCATTGGGTTTTGGAATAAATAAATAATCACAGCATTAGGACTGAAGCTAATTTTGAAAATTCAAGTTGTCTATGAGTCTACTGTAGCCAAAGCAATAAAAATCTCAGGGTCTGGTTTCACTGGGCATTTTTATTTCATCCGTATCTCAGCATCTTTGTTATCAACAAAAAAATAAATAGCAAACTAAATAATTTCCCAAATAAAGTAAGAATTAGCAAACAGTTGCTCCAGGGAGCTGTCTTTTAAATCTCAAAATGTATCTACTAGTGTAGTTAATGAGCAGATGAAATGTTGGAGGCTCATATATTCTCACGCAAGCGCAGTTTGGTGTTTTCTTCTCTGGGAAATGCGCCCCAGCCAGCCAGCCAGCCAGCAGCTAAGCTCGGCTTCCACTGAAGTCACCTTTTTAGTGTTATTGATCACTGGGTTTGTTGCTGCTCTGGTGACATTACCGAGGGCAGAGGGGATGAGGGGAAAGTGGCAGGGGCAGGCGGAGGGAGAGGGAAAGAGCACTTTGCCTTTGCAGGGCTCCTGGGTGGCTCAGTCAGTTAAGAGTCCGACTCTTGATGTCAGCTCAAGTCATGATCTCAGGGTCGTGAGATCAAGCCCCGCTTCAGGCTCCACGCTCACTGCAGAGTCTGCTTGAGGATTCTCTCTCCCTCTCCCTCTGCCCCTCCCCCTGCTCACATCCTAGAAATAAGTAAATAAATAAAATCTTTTTAAAAATCTTATTGATCACTTTATTTAATATCAATCTATGTTCAGGAAAGGCTGGATAGCAAAACATTTAGGTTCATTTGCAGTTTCTTTCTTTTTTTTTTTTAACAGATTTTATTTGTCAGAGAGAGAGCACGCACAAGCAGGGGAAGTGGCAGGCAGAGGGAGAAGCAGGTTCCCTGCTGAGCAAGGCACCCAATGTGGGAATCGATCCCAGGACCCTGGGATCATGACCTGAGCCAAAGGCAGATGCTTAACGACTGAGCCACCCAGGCATCCCTCATTTGCAGTTTATTTCTGTAAAGTTCTAGTAAATGTCCCGGTGGAAAGAACCTAAACACAAAAGACAGTTTTAAGATATTAACATACAAAAGATCTTAATAGGGGAAAAAATGTTTTGTTCTGTTTATATCAACAGGAAAGGAATTTAGGTATAAATTACGAGCATGGCTACTCACATACTCGTCTGTAATTCAAATGAGCAAGGACTGTACTTTCTGGCTTCTGTTTCTTTATCAGTTCCTGGTTTATCTCTGAAAGGGTTAAATTCTTTGCTCTCACAGGTTATTCTACAGGTATCAGTAGTCCTTAAAATATTATGTGCTCATATGTTTGTAAAGTGTATGTGCATATGTACAATTTCTAACCTCCGTTTAGAAACAGTGGAAAATTTCTTGGCTGCCCTAGTTTGTGAACACATGCTCAGTTGTCACACACACACACACACACACACACACACACACCCACCCCCCCCAGGTGGGATCCAGTCTTCGTCCGTTAAGCAGCAGCAATGTGACTTGAGCATTTTCCTCCTGCGTGAACTTGTGTCTTTGCAATGAGTTTAATCTGAAGGCACCTGTCCAACATAAATAATAAAAGAACATTCTAAAAATACCCACTTAAGGAATTAGGTGTGTACTGGAAATAGAGGGCCATGAAGAGCCAATTGCAGTTTTTGTAGCACAAACAACCGACGGGAGGACGGTCTCTCAGGAGAGGACTCTTGTGATTCTTAGGTGATTTTTTCATCGTGTGGGGATTTGGATCTGCTTGAGCACCAGACGAGCTTGGTGTCTTCTGAGGACGGCGCCCGAGAGCAGGAGAACATGGATGACACAAACAGCGAGCAGCAGTTTAGAGTCTTTAGGGACTTCGATTTCTTAGATGTGGAGCTGGAGGATGGAGAGGTACAGTATATTCTCTGTAAAAAATAACCCACTCAGCCTTTCCTCGACTAACGAAAACAGTTTCTTTTTACCCGCTAAATGATGAGGTTTTATAGCAGAGTCTTTAATTGGAAAGCTGTACACTTTATTTTGAATCAACTTATTCAAAGTACAGCAGCTTAACTTTGGCAAAAGTTACCACACCCTTCCTGTCTGAGTCCACAGCATAAACTGCCAAGTTATTTCTAAATGGCAAAGATCTGACGTTTAATGACCACACAAAGACTGTGTGTGTGCGCAGTACAAAGGTGAACTTAAAAAAAAAAAAAAATCACAAAAACATTCAAGTTCTGAGCCTGTTCACTGGTGCCTGGGTAATACATGCTAAGCATCTAATTATTTTAAAAGTGAAATTACTCGATGACTTCAAAGCTTGCCTGCTCCAACGGGAGACAGGAGTCTGAGGGCTCCAGCATCCTTGTGCCGTTTGATGAAATCATTACAACTTGAAACAAGAGAGAAGGCGCGTAAGAGCTCTGGGCTCTGCTCTAGGTTGGTAGCTAGTGTTCCCAGCACCTGGAGCAGCTGAATTCATGTCTCAGCCGGCAAATGCAGATTCGTGGATTTGAATGATAATTATGGTAATAGGATGCTTTCTGTTATGAATCATGGTTTTGAAAACCGGGATTGGAAGGAGGGGCATCAGTCTGACCCTCTCATTTCCAGCTGGGGGTAGTCTCTGCCTCGTGGAGGAAAACAAAATTGACTGATGGGAGGCTGGCATATGTAAACATGCCTGGTACCGCACTGGCTCACAGTGTTCCTTAACACACTGGAGTTCACGTTTAGCTAAATGCACTGATTTTCCCAGACAGAGAAAGGGCTTTCTGCCAGTCTTACATTTAAAATGGAGGCCCCTCTTCAAAGGGATCCCGTGATGGGTAGGCACCTCCTGACTTACCTATAAACTTGTGAGAAATGGTGCTTCCGGTAGCAGCTCACCTTCCCTAAAAGGATATGATTGCGGACCAGTCATCTTATGTCAAGGCAAGGCCAAGGAGCTATGGCCTAGCCTGGATGTCTGCGGAGAATTATGTCCTCAGAATGAAGAATGTTTTCTTTACCTGTTCTTTCTCTAGAGAGCGCCGAATCCTAACCACTAGACCACCAGGGAGGCTCCTGTTCTTTCTCTAGAAAACAAGTTGAGCGGACCCAGTCCTTAAAGCATCTTTAAAATAAGTGTCAGCTTTTCACCTTGAATTATTCTAGAACCTGTAACAAGGATTGCAGAGTTTTCTGACTGTTAACCTTAATGAGTAATAGAGAAAATCAATCACTAAGTGGAGTGAGGACTGTTTTAAAAAGTCTAAACCAAAATAAAACCGTTTAGAATACTTTCAAAATGTCTCTGAGCCAGAGCTATAGGGAATGTCCGAAGATTAGCTCCCTGATCTGGGCCACTGACCTAATCTTTGTTCTTAGGCTAGAAGTCAAGCTTAGGCACCCTCTTTACTCTGGAAGTTAAAATAAGGAGGGAAAATAAGGAAGAAAGAGAAGTATTATTTTCTAGTCTCAGCCAAAAGGAAAAAAAAAAAATGTGTTATGGGACGTGACCTTGCAGGAGTGATGTAAAGTAGAGGAATCAGACACAGTTTCAGAAAAACTAACAAATTTAATTTCTATCAGAACAAAGGAAGGAAAATCGGAGGTGCCTCTCACTTGAAAATAAATATTATACTAATGTTTTTCAGGGACAATAAATAATGAATACTTCCTCTCCCTTCTAGTGTTCCTAGCAGACAGGAACCTCAAAATCATAGTGATCATTTTATCTTATTCAATTAAGATTTTATAAGAAACTTCAGAGTGTGAGAGTATCTATTCCATCCAAATAAAATAAACTATCTGAGAATGTTTTGCTACTTCTCAATAAGATTATAATAAGGGATTCTAGCAAGTTTACCAAGTGCTAGAGTAAAAATGCCCGAGCTTTAGTCAGGCAGTCCAACTTGGAATTTCACCTCTGCCACTGACAGAGCTTTATGCCCTGAAACGTGGATGCAGTTTCTCTTGACTTCCTCATCTGTTAAATGGGTTTGGTAATAACTGCTTATCAAGTTGATGCTGGGACTAAGATAGCCTCTGCCGAGTGTCAGGCATGCAGCAGGCAGCCCTTTGTACTGTCATTGGTGAATAATTTCAGCATATTCTCATCTGAGAAAGCCAAGCTCATCTGGCGTCTAGAGCAAAACACAATTATCAAAAAAGAAAGACAAGGTTTTGTTTTGTTTTTTTTATGTCTCTTCCTTTTCATTAAATAGTCTCCGAATTTACTGCCTCCTCTCTGTAACAGTTTGCCTTGGAACTTTTCAGGATCGTTAAAAGGTGCCATGTCCTGGCTATTAATTGCACATCAGCAATGAACACACCATGACCACAAACACTTTAGTCTTGTGAGATGGATCAGGTGATGCCACCTTTTCTTTTTCCCCCAGTGGATGACCCTCATTCGTTTTCTCACTAAGTTGAACAATTTTCTCACAAATAAAAATTTAAGCATCCGCCCTCCCTCTTCCCCCAAAAAAGTGTTGAGCAGAAGCTGCCAGTCCCTGAAGTGGCAAGCTATTTCAGAAATTGTTTTTATGATTTGTTACCCCAGCTGCACCATCCACCCCCAAAAGGGTTCGAACTTCCTGGTGTTTGATACTGATTTCTCTCTTTGGGGGTTTATATATCTTCACCATTTTTTTTAAAGTCACATCTACTGAAGGCTATATCGTTGGCCCTGTGTATTGCTGTTGTGTTAAAACTAAGATGAATGCACTTGAGTATCTTTAATATAATTGTTTTAAATAGACCTCTTATTTGTTTTTCTGTCCAATCTGCTACCCAGGAACTTCAGGTAAGATGATGCTATCTTTAATTCAGATACGCTAAGTAGATGTTTTGCATCATTGCAGACTTATAACAACATAATTGCTTTTTTCCTCCCTTCTAGCGTATGTATGCCTATTTGCGTGCATATTTACATTAAGGTCTGTGTGATACAAGGAGGATTTTTCTTTATTGCTCCAGTATGGAAATATTTTCTAAACTATAAATACAAGATAGTTTTAAAATCCTGGTATGCCTACTCTAGAAGTCGCAGAAGTCTATCTCTTGAGCGAAAGTGAGGTTTTAAATATGATCTATGGAAATCTTACAATTTCTGAGAAGGCAGCCGTCCAGCTGGATTGGTTCTGTTGTTAAATCCTCTTATTAAAAGTGAAGCCAACGAGCCGCACCTAACAATATACCACCAACACTTCCAATCAGATCCTTTCCAGGCATTAGGAGCTCTCTCTGTATGGCAACTATATAAAGTTTCATCCAAATGAGAACATTTCTCAAGTAAAAGGGTGTGCTAATAATAACTGCACGTAGACAACAGGCAGAAGCCAGGGCCATCATGGGCAAACTGACCTATGAGCACCTTACTCTATCTGTGTCGTGTCAGACTTACTCTGAGAAGGTGTATATTTGAGGAAATACATTTTGACCACACTGCACCTACATTCTTTCAACAATAATCCTTACTTGACAGAGTTCTAGTATGGAAAAAAAATTATTTCAAAGAATATTATTTCTAACATTTCTAGAATGTTCAGTCACAAATACTTTCTCATCTCAGTACAAATCCTGAGTAGTTATTTAAGTTTGATAACTGACAGATGCAGATTGTCTTGAATAATTAGCCATCTCCTAAATTTCTCACACGTAGAAAATCTGTCATAATCAGTAAAACACTGTTTTGACTTTTGACCACGTAGGTTGGCTTTTAATAACCACACACTTGAACTTGAGCTAGACTATAGATACCCATACTATCTTCAGCCACTACCAGGGAAACAGTTTCAACACCTTCGTCTCTGATGGAGCTCAGAGGTGCAGTCATATCACTAGGAACAGCGATCCATGCCCAGGGTAGCACTCCCTCACCTAGACGTCTGTATTTCTCTCATGGTTCTTCTCAGGTTCAGCATGCGAGACTTCCAGAACTGTTGCCTAAGATAGTTCATCCAACCCATTCACTGATTTGGTGCAAGAGAATCAACTTTAGGAATTAGGTTTTATATTCATATTTGGATATTTCTCCCAGTAGTTTGCATGTTCTTCTTTTTCTCTGTATTCTTATTCTTTTCATCTTTTTAACTTCTTCACACATTGCATTTTCTTTTTCTTTCCAGAACTCTTGCCTTTTCCACATTTTTCTTTCAGTTTTTCACGGAAATAGCTATTTTAAAATCCCAGCAAAACAGTTAATCTTTTCCACTAGGAAAAAAATTATTTGGTGACAGTTTATCATAGCAGATACAGATAAAGGTATAGATAACAGACAAAATAGCAGATGCAGCTACTCTGTATAATCACACAGCCCTAAGAACAATCATAAACATCATACATGGGGATAAATCATGATAATAATTTTCGTATCAGATCCAGAATGTGTTTAGGATTCTTACCTATTGCCTTCTGCCATGAATAGCCAAAAAAGACTTCAGAAAAGTTAAAGCATCTGTTATATGAGAGATCTAGGAGAATGGCAAGTTTTGCTTCATTAGGATCCAGAAGAAATAGATCCTTAAACCAAAGGAAGATTAATAAATTTAAAGGTCATAATTTTAGAAGTGATTTTACATCTCTCATATTATATGATTATGCTACTCACTGAGCTCTCACCAGAAAAAGTTATTTTATTTCAGCGAACCATCAGACAGTGTTTCAAATGACTTCTAAATGAAAGGATTCTGGGCTAGATTTTGTTCAGATTACCCATCTATATAGGTTAAAACTTGCTCATCAAGGGGCTGGGTATTATTTCTCTTCCTTTATCCCTGTTTTAACAGAGAGGAAAAAATAAAACCCAAATTACTTTCTAGGAAAGATTTTTTTGTCGGACAGATACACTTATTTAACATCAGATGGTCAGTAGAGAAAGTCTGGGATACAACGAGAAGCTTTAACACCTGCATTGCCACTTAGCCCAGGTCTCAGAAATGAAAAGGTACAAGGCAGCATTAGTGCTTGGTACCAAGTCAACCATTTCAGGTCCAGGAAAGCAACTGTTTTCTATGTTGGGACAATTATTTAAAGATGAGCCTAAAGCAAAAGTTAAGCCGTTCTGCTCTGGCCTGTGCATAGTGCATGATCCATCAGACTTTGCCCAGCTGCTCTCAGATATTCTTTTAACTCTGCATTTGATCTGCGAAAACCGCTGTAGCAGGAACAGGCTGGAATGTTTACCTAATACTCTTCTACTTAATACCCGAAGGATGTGGAATGTGTTACAGCATAGCTCCTATTTTTTCTCCTTCCGAAGAAAACAGTACTAAGTGGGCCGGGGAGGGGCCTCACCTCTTTGGAGGTTGTTTTAATAGAAATGGTCTCTTCCTTAAAGATTTTTGGAAACCTAGATCATTACAGAGTTGACCAAAGTCACCTTTTAAAAAACATGGTATTACCCACCAGGCCCAAGAGAAGTGTGTAATCACTTCTGCCTATGATTCAATATGCATTTAGGTGAAAATATTATGCTTTACTACCTTTCACATCACGTAAACAAAATGTCTGGTACCAAAGTAGATGAGAGCTTGGAAATTCATAATGAAAGCATTTATTTCTAAGCTATGACTAATTAAATGTGTGAAGGTGTGAGTGCAGGAAGATTCTGGCATAAAAACCAGATGATGGTGTGATTTCAGGGTGAGAGTATGGACAATTTCAACTGGGGAGTGCGCAGGCGTTCTCTGGACAGTTTGGACAAGTGTGATATGCAGCTTCTGGAGGAGCGCCAACTTTCGGGAAGGTCTCCCAGCCTAAATAAAATGAACCACGAGGACTCCGATGAATCCTCCGAAGAGGAGGACCTCACAACCAGCCAGATCCTGGAGCACTCCGACCTAGTAAGTGGGACCACCTTCCCGCCATGGGAAACGGGAGGTTTATTTTTGTAATTGAAGCAGGAGCGTGGTTTCCAGTTGTCGCTAAAGAAACTTTGCACAGCTGCTAAACTAACACCTGAAATATCAGGTGGTGTCTAACTGACGGTGACAAGCCTCTTGTCTATAGGTTGCAACCGGACACAGATGCTCGGGTGTTTGTTAGAAGCCTTGAACACCATCAGATCCGTTAAGGCCTGGACTTTTCCTCAAATAACTTTTATGAGGCTGGAATCTTTTAACAGACATCTGAAGTTTTAGGAAATATAACAGACATTTGGATGTGGTTATCTGCAAATATAAGCGTTCATGTTTTAGAGTTCTGCGCCCTAATGCCCTACACAAGCTGCTGGGTTTAAGTTCCAGTAGTGAAATATGCACGTTAAATAATATCTGTCACCCAACAACAAGCTCGGGCAATGGTTTGTACTCTTACATAAAGGATCATTTGAGCTTTTTAAGAAACTCCACACTGGGTTTTATTTGCTTTGCTTTCTCTACAGATCATGACTCGCTCCCCTTCTGAGGAGACTAATCCCATGGAATCGCTCACCACAGCCTGTGACATGACCCCGGCTGACTCTCATTCCTTTAACACCAGAATGGCTAGCTTTGATGCGTCTTTGTCCGATATGAATAATCTGCAGATTTCTGAGGGCTCCAAGGTGAAAAGATTTTGGCAATTATGATTGTAGTTTTCTTAAAGAAAAAGTACTTCCAATTTTCTGAGAAATCTTAGGGGGCTCTAAGTGGAGGGACTGTATCTTTTTTCTTTCTGACTTTTTTGAAATAATTGAATTTGTGCACCTGAGCCTATGTTTTGAAGTTGTTTTACCCTCACAAATGAGCAGCCATCTTCTTGGTGGTTCAAAGAGATTCACTTTGAGGTCTTATTCAAATGAGACATTTTGCATTTTCCATATAGCAGGAACACTGCTGATTAATGGCAAAACAAATCGATGTATGTCTGAGATTGCTGTGACTTGGAAACTGCTGTTCTTTGTCATGACTTTTATAAAACAATATGCTAAGTGAGGTGTGGGTGTCTGCATGTACTTGGGGAAATTTTTTCCTATGTAGGAACCAGTTAGACAATTTGTACATTGACTCCATTCTGGCCTTTTGGCATACTATTGGAATTTTCAGTGTTAATCACAATATTATGCCAGATTTAAACAAAACCGTCCTAGCCAGACAGAGGAGAAAAGTAAGTAACGGATATAATTTTCTTATTTAAAAAGTCAGGGCTTTAAAAAGCTAACAATGTATATTTCGTTTTTTGTTAATTTTTAATCCTAATCCTAAAACTATCCACTTCCATACTGTGTTCACATAAGTGCCCACATATGTGCCCCTTAATATAGAATTTTATTTTCTTATGTTACAAATACCAAAATAGCCTACTGCTGTTGGTAGTAGGTGTCCTTTATCCTGAGTTTGCTGTGGTAGTATAAGTTTGAAAGAGAAAGTTATAAAGTAATTTTTAAAATGTATAAAAGTATATTCTTTCTGATACTTCTAATGGAAAAAAATATAATAACTGGCTGTTGTGTACTCTTTTTACAGTGCACTTTAAACAGATCTGAGGTCCAGGTACTTTAAACCAAGGACAGCCAACCAAATCGCAATCACTTAAAAATGTTGAAGCTTAAAGAATTATTTCTAAGAGAGCCTCAGTGCAAAAGGACTACAGTCTGGATTCTCAGAGTCAGCAGAGTCCCTTTTATAGCCAAAAAAGGTGCAGAAAGAAAAGAAACTTGTCTGAGATTAAAATGCCAGAATCCTAAGATTAAGAAATTAAATCTCATGGGAAGGACATCACAAAATAAATGTGAATTATTAGCATTTGCTATTTCTCAGTCTTACCATAGTCATTCTCTCAATTTTTCTGTTTTGATTGCCAAGTTACACAGATTTCTCATAGAAAGCACTACCTGAGTGGTAATATACTTAGGAACTCACGCAGGAATCATCTAATTTGATCAAGGAAAAGCTAAGTCTAATTTCTGAAAGGCTCTCTCTGTTTTCCTCCTGAGCTGAGTTTCTGCAATGTGCGATATAGCCGTGATGTTAGAAAGGGAAAATAAAGGACATTTTTGTGAGAACCCAACCCTCCCCTAATAGATTAGGTTTATGTACACTAATGACCCAGACCAGTCACCGGCAGCCAGTCTCGTTGGCACCACTGTAGTTTTAAAAAGCCGGAAAAAGCAGATATGGATAAGCCTCTGAAACTCAGTATTTATGAGCAACTTCTTCAAAGGCATGAGCTATCTTGTTTCCCTAACATATCTTTAAACACCCCTCTTAATTTCTTTATTGATCCTAGATTCAAAACACCAACTGGGTGGCCAGCCAGCAACCTGTGATAATGCTTGAATTCATATAGATTTCCTTTTTGCCTGGCTCTGGTTTTGTTTTAAGAAAATGACTCACTGAAACATGTGTGTGTGATGTCTTCCTCTCCTCTTCTGGTCTGTAACCCAGTTGCCTTCCTTCCTCTCATAAAGAACAGTCAGTTCTCCAGCTGAGTCCCCCTGGCCCACATTCAAACCCAGCCTCTTTTTCCATTGCACTAGCTCTGTCTCTCTCCTGCCCCTCGCTGATCCCAGCTCTGCCGACCTAGAGCCCTTGCATTTCGCTGCTCACTCTACAACAATGTGAGAGCAGCCTCTCCTATCCGTTATCTTCGGGGGGGTTCCAAGAGCAAAGCATGTATGTAAATGGGTCTTAGAGGATTTCCAGTATGAAAAGGCCTATCAACATGGCGGGCTCAGTGAACAACCGTGGACCACTCATGCACCCTGCAGGTTTATCTTGAGCATTTACTATATCAGCCACTGATGATTCTAAATTCCAGTTTCCATAGGTAAAGGAATTCTGTGTCAGAGTGTTCCCTCTGGATAGGCTCGCTTTAGAAGGCAAGTTTTGTACCGTGGAAAGAGCTCTAAATCCAAAGGCCCTGATTTATCTACTTGATGCCAGGCAAGTCCCTTTCCCACACATGAGTTTCCTGTAAAATGCGAGGGCTAGACCAAGGCGTCTCTGTGGTCTTTTCTAAGTTTAGCATTTATACTCCCATAATCATGGATCAAATATGACAATCTACTAAGAGCCTCTTTGGAAACTACTATAGGCAAGACTGAAAAGAAGGTAAAGAATGAACAGTGCTTCTGAGAATTCCTGAGTCCAGTTATAGAAAGTGACTGTTTTGTAGCCGGAAAATCAATGCCCCCGATTTCTATCACTCTAGGGATTGGTCTCTTTTATTTTCCCTTTAGTTGAATAGATTTCCCCAAATATATTCTTACAAGGTGGGGGGATGCTTTCCTCTCTTTCTTCTTCCAGGCTGAAGCCGTCCAGGAGGAGGAAGACACGGCCGTGCATGAGGACGATCTCTCCAGTTCTGTCAATGAACTCCCAGCAACCTTCGAATGCAGTGGTAGCTTCAGCCTGGATATGACTGAGGCAGAAGAAAAAGGCAATAGAGGACTGGACCAGTTTACTCTCGCTAGGTAAAGCAGCCCCTGGTGGGAACGAGCGGTGACAGCGTACCTGGCACATTGTATCACATTCACTGTATCTCAGGTGAAAGGTCACACGGCACAGCCGGGACCTCCTAATGAGGAGTCCGAATCAACTTCTGATTCCGAAGGCTCTCGGCTGGTCAGAGTCATCCGGCCTGGGTGCAGGGCCTGGTGTGGAACTGAAAGGGGTACTCAGGTAGTGACTCCTAAAAGCCGTAGAGTAACACAGAGTAACACCGAGCAACGTAAAGCCATAGAGTAACTCAAAAGCCAAAGAGGGGCCTGGGGACACGGTCCAAGCCTTGCAAGCTTTGAAGATAAGCAAGACTGGCAAACCTTGGAAATGAGGAGTTCTCTCCACTCCGAGTTAAAAGACAAGAACAAGAGGCTCTTTAGAAGTTAAATACCTACTCTTTTTTTTAAGTGGGTGGCTTTCAGCCTGGTGGCTGATATTTCTGAGACTAGTGAGAGCTAGTCAGAGAACACGAATAGATGAAAATAGAGAGGAATAGATAAAAAACACTAATGCAGGGGCGCCAGGGTGGCTCAGTCAGTTGAGCGGCCGGCTCTTGATCTCAGCTCAGGCCTTGATCTCAGGGTTGTGAGTTCAAGCCCCACGTTGGGCTCCACACTGGGCATGGAGCCTACTTAAAAAACAAAACAAAAGAAAAAACCACACACACACACTAACGCAGTGTCTAGAAAAAAATCACAAGTGATAAGGCTAGAGATTTACTTCTAGAGAAGAAAGAATCCTAAAATCTCTCTTCTGAATGTGGACAAGAACTAAGGAGCTTTTGATATGGCCAGACAAAGACCTTCTGTTATGGTGAGCAGTATCTGTCCTTGGAAGGAAAAGCTGAAGGTAATAGTACCTACAGAAGAACCTGACCTTTCGCCTGTGGTCATTATCTTTCCTTTCTTCGTGGGGCTCCGTGTCTCTCACCCTGCGTTTCTATCCTTCCATTTCCTTTTCTCCCTCTACCCTCCCCTCCTGGGCATTCATGCATGTGCAGCCATTATACTCTCTCCCACAAAGCACATTTGGAATCTGAAAATCAGATTCCAAATTTGTGTTCTTTTTTTTTTTTTTAAAGATTTTATTTATTTATTTGAGAGAGAGAGAACGAGAGAGAGCACATGAGAGTGGGGAGGGTCAGAGGGAGAAGCAGACTCCCCGCCGAGCAGGGAGCCCGATGCGGGACTCGATCCCGGGACTCCAGGATCACGACCCGAGCCGAAGGCAGTCGCCCAACCAACTGAGCCACCCAGGCGCCCTCCAAATTTGTGTTCTAATGGTTCATGATGAAAGCTGAAAAGGCGCGAAAGTGCCAAAAGTAATGTTTCTCTGTCTGGGGAACGGCCGCTGGGAAAGCGAGAGCGCTCGTTGCTGGAGGCTCCGGGGGCGGGTCCCGACTCACTGTAAAAGAAGTCAGAAGGGGAGGAATCCCAGAAATTCTGGAGGTGAAAATTCTCTTTTCTAGATTCAGAAGAGAATGGCGAAGATCGGGGAGGGAGAGCTGAGTCCCCAAAGCAACCTCGCCGGGATAGCCGGCAGGGCCAGAGGGAGGCGACCCGGGAGAGGATGAGGACGGCACTTGTTGACAGGGTTGTCTTCCTCTTTCCCAGCTTTGGAGAAGGTGACAGGGGGGTCTCTCCCCCACCCTCGCCCTTCTTCTCGGCCATCCTTGCTGCATTCCAGCCGGCGGCCTGTGACGACGCAGAGGAAGCCTGGCGCAGCCACATCAACCAGCTCATGTGCGACTCGGATGGCTCCTGTGCGGTGTATACATTTCATGTGTTCTCCTCCTTGTTTAAGGTACGGGGCCCAGCGCCCCGAGGACTGCGTCTCCTAGCGGGGCCGGCTAGCTTCCGGTGGCGGGAGGCATGGTGGTTTCGTTCTGGGTTTGTACTCTTTTCTGCTCTGGGTACTCCTCAGTTGCCTCTGACCCCAGCCTTTCTTCTGTTTAACCGTAAATCTGCACAACCTTCCCAAACTGGTATTGCAAAGGCCTTGTCCCCCAAGGATGCAGTCCATGTGCTGTGCTGTTCACTTTTGCCGTTCTGGCTTTTGTGGATGTCATCCGTCCCAGGCAACCGTGACACCAGAACCATCAAGTGGTACCTTCTGCCAAGCCTGTCCTGCATCCCGTCTTTCCTCTTAGACACTTCCTCTGTCTCTCCTTTTTCTTCATTATTCGTGTTTAGCCTGTCGTTGTCTTTTCTCTCTTTTCCCCCGCATGAATTCCTTAAATGTGTGGTAGATGCTTCTGAACACGTGAACGGCCATACTTTGCTTAGTCCGGACTGGGTCTGCGCAAATTATAAACAGAGGCCCCTTCCTCCAGACCGGTGCGGTACCGAGTGTGGCCAGCAGAGGGCAGGCTGGCTCTCAGTCCCTCAGCCAGGCACCCGTGGCATCTTGCCCACGGCTCAATGTAGCAGTCTCTGCGAGGACACCTTCAGATTTCACTTGTTATCTCCAAACACACTTACAACAATGACTGAACCAAAGAGATGGAGGGAACTCGACTTCTGAGGGGTGCTTGAAGGTGTATTTTGATGCCTGCCTGTCTGTTGATGTGCAGATTCCTGTCAGTTCCTTCATGTATCCTGCTCTGAACTTTTACTCCAACTTTCATCAAATGATTGGTGGAGGTGGGAGGCAGCAAAAGAAGAGAAACACGGCTTTTTATGAAGAAACCCCGAAGGTCTTCTGTCAGCACTGGAGTTAACTGGCTGTGTGTGCTGTATTTGAAGGCGATCCTAAGAAAGTAGCAGGGCTGGGAATAATGCTCAGCCAGGAAGATGAGGTTATAGGTGAAGATCGACTGACACGGAAACATAGTTACCATAGAGTTTAAGAGAAAACTAGTTTTAAAAAACCAGTGTGTACAGTACTCCTCTTTTTTTTTTTTTTAATATTCAGAAAATAGTGAAGATTATATACTAGCAGTTCACTGTAGTTTACTGAGGGTGATGAGACTATGGGTGTCTTTTTATCCCCCCTTCTTTTTACTTTCTTTCAAATTCCTATTTTCCTATAATGAAGATGCCTTTCTTTCAGCATTTTTTCTACACTTGTATTTGATAACCCACAAAACAGAATTGCCACTAATAATACAGGGGAAACATGGAAAGGGACAATGAGTTCCAGCCTCCAGTAGATGTGAGGGATGGGCGAGTGAATGGACAGACAAGGGTGGAACCCCCTTACACTGTTTTATAGGTTGAGTTCTGTTGAGTATTATCATGAGAGGGGACCATAACTTGGTTGGCCTGAGGGATGGGCCCACTCACTGAGTACCTTAAGAAGAGCCATGGCAGAAGGGAAAGGCAGGAAAATCAGGAAGTCTACTAAAAGTGGGATCATCTGCCTTAAAAAATTTCCAACCCAGGAAGCCGCAATTTAGTTACTATAAAAAGTAAAGTCTGGGGGCACCTGGGTGGCTCAGTCAGTTGGGTGTCTGCCTTCGGCTCAGATCATGATCCCGGGGCCCCGGGATCGAGTCCCGCATCGGGCTCCCTGCTTGGTGGGGAGTCTGCTTCTCCCGCTCCCTCTGCCTGCCGCTCCCCCTGCTGTAGCTCTCTCACCCATTTTTTTGAGAATTATATACCAGTAGTACTAATAGCTACAGTTTCAGTGTTATTGTGCTGCTCTCTGCCAACTTTTCAGTTGCCTTTCAGGGACATCTTTTAGAAAGTTGACTGGGCAAACTGAGGTTGTATCTGAGATTAACTGGAGGCTGGAGGGGCTGTTAGGCTTAAGAGAGAAAACAATTGTTTGCTGAGAGATAAGAACTCCAGAAACACTCTAACACTGAGCCAGATTGAAATGTTAAAACAAACCATGAGGAAGTTACCATTTGAGGCAAATTTACTTGTTGAGGATTTAGGAACAAAGTAATTTATTTTTAATATCATTCTGAAGTCTCTTTTAAAATAATGGTTAATGGTTAATAATTTAAGTTTGGCTGTTATAGTTTTTTTTTTTTTCTTATTATGGTCACTAGATTATCTGTGCTCAATTTTCGCATCCTGAGCAATACTTTTCCCTCTGCCCAGCATGGCCGTGTCCTCTTGGCCCTCAGCTGTACTCCCAGTGACACACAAACCCCTGATTGGAGCTCACTTCAGCAAATGAAGCCTTTCCTTCTTTCTCCCTGTCACCTGGGATCCCAAGCACATTGTGGTTCCATCTGTCATGCTTGTCACATTCTATGAGTATTACTTATTACCTGTTTCCCCCAGAGAGGGCAAGTAATGGTGTCTTAGGATAGCACAGTTGCTAACACACAGTAGGTGCTCAGTGAACATAGGACGAATGAATGGGAATCTTTTTTAGCAGAATTCTTAAACAGACATCTGACTTGATGACAGTAGACCAGCAGGTTGTCCCATGAGCTGGGAGGTGAGGCTGGGCCCTTGGGTAGGGGGCACGTTTGGGTTTGAACTTTATTTTTCCATTCATGTATTAGATTAATCCCTATGTAGCTTATCTGCAATAATAATCATACAAATGTGTACCTCTTATTTCAGTTTTTAATATTACATTTAGCCTTGGGGCACCTGGGTGGCTCAGTCAGTTAAGTGTCTGACTTTAGGTCAGGTCATGATCTCAGGGTTGTGGAATAGCACCCCTCATCGGTCTCCCTGCTCAGCAGGGAGTCTGCTTCTCTCTCTCCCTCTACTCCTCCCCCACTTGTGCTCTCTCACTCTCTCTCTCAAATAAATGAAATCTTAAGAAAACATATTACATTGAGCCTTAAGAACTTTCTCAACTGTTATCAAATGCTATGTGATTGAGAGCAATATGAGTCACAAAATAGGTATTAATACAATATGCTGGAAATGAAATACATTTCAGGCGTGCAGTCTGTTAAGCTGTTGTCATGTCCCCACCATGTCTGTTTATTGTTTTCCTACATTTTCCTGTGAGTCTGAAGGCCACATCTCCCTGTATTTAGTTGGATTTGGGAGGGGTAGAGAGGAGGTAATTGCCAAAATAATTTGGTTTTAAAAATGAGGAATTCATTTCTAATGGTCCAGCGTGGCCATCTTTCCAAGTGTCTCAGCCATCATATGTCCTTCCTGCTGCTCCTGGGTTAGGATGTCGTCATGGTATCACACAGTGCCTCCAAATTATGTGATGTGTTTATACGGAAGTCAGGTGAGGACGAAATGAGTGTATATCCCCTCAATATCACCTGCCTTTATATAAGAGGCTCTAAAGTTCCCTGATAGATAGCTTCCCAGACCTCACCTTATCCTTAGGTCAAATGGAAAGAACCCCAAACTCTTTGGGGACCTGAATCCTACTCGCGGTTCTGCCACTCAACTAGGTGTATGATGCTAGACATGGCATTTCTCGTTCTTTCTGCTCTAACATTCAGTCAAGTTTTTTTTTTTTATTTTTCCCTAACTGTACATAAAACTAACTTAGCCCCATAAAGACATATGTATGCTCTGCGTTATGCCAAAATTCTCATATATATGAAGTAAAAAATCATTAATATGCAACATGGTTGGCATTTCTCTAATATAAAGCATAAGGAATCAGCCTGCTGTTGTTGGGGGACATCTGCTTTCCTCACAATAGGGCAGAGAGGATTTCTCCTGGATTCGATTCCACAACTCAAAAGGTATGACATCTCTTTGAGGAAAGCCAGTGCCTAGGACTGGAATTATTTTTTGGTTAAATATTGTGTTCTTTTTGTTAAAGATACTGTGTGTTGGAAGCTTAAGGGCTAGAACATGTTTCCATTTTGGCGATGACACAGGCAGTGTGACTCAGATTCTTCCTAATTCTGGTTTTGTCCTCAGGCAGGATAGGAGAAACTAGCTCTTAGGAAGCTTTGTCGATTTGTGGAAGGAGGATGAGCTCTGGAGTCAGGCTCATCATTCCTCTGTGACTTACGAGCTGCATGACCTTAGGCAAGTCAGGTCTTAACCTTGACTTCTTTCCCTGGTTGTGAGGATTAATGAGTCAACATAAGCACCTATGGGACAGAGTTAGAGACACCAGAGCAGACACGCTCTCAGAGGGAGATATTATTCCAGACCCACATAGCATTTACTTCCACTTTCCAGAGGCTCAAATGGCACTATTTTGATGCTCTTTCTCAGGAAGCTGTGATCTTGGGGAACAGAAAAGCGTTAAATCTCATGACCTTTTCTAACTCGAGCACATTTACGTAATCTGAGTAATTTCTCACTGCTCTGACAAACAAGTGAGGAGGACTCAAGTTGCTGACCAGCACTAACCACCAGCAAAAAGAAAAGCACCATTTATTTAAAAGATTATAAGAGCATCCACACTCGGGCACCTGGGTGGCTCAGTTGGTTAAGCAACTGCCTTCGGCTCAGGTCATGATCCTGGAGTCCCTGGATCGAGTTCCGCATCGGGCTCCCGGCTCAGCTAGGAGCCTGCTTCTCCCTCTGACCCTCCCCCCTCTCATGTACTCTCTCTCATTCTCGCTCTCTCAAATAAGTAAATAAAATCTTTAAAAAAAAAAAAAGAGCATCCACACTCTGGGAAACAACACTTTAAGAAGAAATTTGGTCCACACTGGGTGATTATTTACTTAAGACCAACATGCACTCTACTCCCTATCTCCCCCGCCACCTCTACCTGAGGACCTACACTCATTTGATATTTTTATAAAGATTAAAAAATAGGTTTTTCTAGTGCATAAGTTAAAACTTGCCCTTTACAAATGGTAATTATTGTACCTTGCAGAATATTCAGAAAAGATTCTGCTTCCTAACCTGTGATGCGGCCAGCTACCTTGGAGACAATCTCCGGGGAATCGGGTCCAAGTTTGTCAGCTCTTCCCAGATGCTCACCTCCTGCTCTGAATGCCCTACACTCTTCGTGGATGCTGAGACCGTGAGTACCCCAGTCTCTGGCGGCAAATGGCCAGTGCAGCTTACTAAGGTGTGGAAATTCCGGGAAGCGTGCTTGTGTTGTGGTTTGTCTGAAAGATACTGTCAGTGTTTGTGAGAAGCGCCGTGTTGTGACATGACCCCCGAAGGCCTGAGTCTGCATAGTAATGACTGTACATTACCAGCCAAGGCCAAGTCATTTCAGAGAATCGGGAGAAAAATCGACCTCAGTGTTCCCTCCGTGTCCTTGGCACCTCGCTCCAATAACTCTGGCTTTGACAGCCATGAATAGGTGAGTGACCCCCCCCAGAGCTGACCTAACCTGTCCCCACGATGCCAGGTTGGCCAGCCAGATGGGGCTCCAGAGGCAATATGTCCTCACTTTGCTCACTCCCAAATCTCAGGTGGAGACTCATCGCCCTTGGAGGGATTCATCCAGCCCAAACAGCAAGTGATGAGTTTGAGAGTTGGTTAAAGCATCCTCTGGCTGACTGCCAAATCATGACTTTAGGAATATAACTCTAAGCCCGCATGACGGGTGAGCTCTTTGGGGGCTCATGCCCCCATGCATATCACACAACCATCTCATATGCTAATTCCTGAATTTAGAACCAACAACGGATGTGCTCTGATTTCAAAAGTCTCTGAAGAATTAGTCTTTCCAGGAACTTGGTGGTTAGCTACCTTGCAGCAGGGAATACAATAAGAGAAATCATTCTATATTAAAGGATTTAAAGTTCAGATTAACTATAAAATCAGTTCGAAAGTCTATTTGGAGGTCTGTCTTCACACTTTTTGGAATATTACTAGATGAAGATACTAGAGTTCATGCATAAAATGGAGATCTTTAACGTGAGCTCCTACAGACACTTGTTAAGACTTGAAAGTCTATACTGATATGGAAAAAACAATATTTTCATGGGAGATTTGGATTAGCGAGCTTGTATTCAATTGCCATTGTGGCTGATTGTGGAGCAAAATTACACGTTGCACAGCTTACTAAAAATGGACACTTTACATTATTTCTAAATATATTTCTCTTTTCTCTCTCTGTAGCCATGCCTGTGTCTAGTTATCTCTCTGATTGTTTTAATACAAATGACTTTCCTGTCTTTAGCTCCTTTCTTGTGGACTTCTGGACAAGCTCAAGTTCAGTGTTTTAGAACTGCAAGAATATTTGGATACCTACAACAACAGAAAAGAAGCCACTCTCTCGGTAAGTTTTTGTGTTTCTGTGCATATACATTCAGTTAAAATCAAATGAACCCCACCACTATGAGCCCTGGGGAGGTGTTGTGATTAATTTAAGATAGGATCTTTGGAAGAAGACAGATGTCATCTATTCCTCTGTTAGGGACTACAGTTCCAATTGAATAGTGGTAGAACTGTCAACAGTATGGATGATACAAAAATGATGTCTACAAATGAGAAGTCTTCAGCTTTCATTTTTATCCCCATAATTTCCCTACCCAGAAATTGGGAAGCATGAGTATCTGCTTGATATGTCTCCTTGTCAATGTCATTAACTTTTCTCAGAGATTTAATAAAATTGTTATTTATTTCCTTCCAGTGTTTGCCTTACCTGAACATAGATGGGGTGGATCTCGGCTCTCTCCTCTTAAATACTCTCAGTAGCTGCCTTTCCCTGACCTCATTGCTTCTCCTGGCCTCGACTCCTGCTCTTTACTCTTTTTTTTCCTTCATAGACCTAGACTGTAAAATATTAGAGACAGAAGTGATCCAGAAACCAGGCATGCAGACCCCTGATTTCTGACAAGTAATTGTGTGTAATATCTATGAGACACTTTTTATAATATGCCAAACACTATAGAAAAGACGTGAATTTTGAAATCAGATGGACATGGGTTCAAATCACAGTTCAGCTACTTAAGGGTTAGTGACCTTGGATAAGTTACTTACCTCCTCATCTCAGATTCGTCATCTATAAGACGGTGATAATAACTAATTTGCAGAATTGTTGTAAGGATATAACAATTATAATAGTCATAGTATATATCCTTTCCTGCGTCCTTTCTATGTGTCCAACAACCTGATCAGAGTTATATCTCTTAAATTAAATAATGGAATGCTCACAACAACTGGAGTTGCTATTATTGTCCTCATTAGCTAGGAGGTGGAAAGTTGGTATTGAAACCGAGGTCTATGGGGAGGGGGGTGAGAGGATGGGTTAGCCTGGTAATGGGTATTGAGGAAGGCACATTCTGCGTGGAGCACTGGGTGTTATGCACAAACAATGAGTCATGGAACACTACATCTAAAACTAATGATGTAATGTATGGGGATTAACATAAGAATAAAAAAAAAAAAAAGAAAAAAGAAACCCAGGTCTATGGGATTCAAAAGTCCATGCGCTTAAACACAACACAGTATTGCCTTTAAAATGGAAATAACCTATGTAAACTGCCCAGCACAGTGCCTCATACACAGAAGACATTCATTATACAGTTACTTGTTTTTTCTTTGTTGTTATTGTTGTTATTGTTCTTTTCATGATCTACCCAAGGGCAAGAGTTCTGACATTCTACTATAACAATTCCCATTGTCTTCTATTTCTGTGGCTTTACTGGTCATGGCTTTCCCCCTTCTCCGTCATCAGTTAATAAAAATAATCCTTCCATTCCTCTCGGTGAACAAACCAATCTTTTTGATGTCAGATGTGAATTTCAGTTCTTCAGTGCTTTTTGTTTTGTGCCCCGGGGTTCCTTTTTACATCTGTATTAGTTACTATCTGTATTAGTTACTATCCCAGATACTTAAGGATGTCAGAATCTCTAAATAGCTGAACTGTTATTTTAATAGCCTTTCTTACATTGAAGTAGACCTGCCCCCATAGAAGCCTCCCAATATCACAGAGAGGTAGGTGGGCCATGAGTCTAGTTGCATGGTCCAGAATCCCCCAGCCTATGAGGAATTGTTGGTTTTATCTCCCAGTCTCAATCATATGAAAGGTTTCTAACTGTATATGATTTTTTCAAGTTTATACATAAAATAGGAATGGTCTGGTGAAACCATCCTCCAGGAATGTTGTATCACAGTGCTGAAATTATATATTTAAATGAGCATCATAAGGGGTACTGGGTGGCTCAGGCAGTTAAGCGTCTGCCTTCAGCTCAGGTCATAATCCCAGGGTTCTGGGATGGAGCCCCGTGTCAGGCACCCTGTTCAGCCGGGAGTCTGCTTCTCCCTCTCCCTCTGCCCTGCTTATGTGCTCTCTCTCTCAGTCTCTCTCTCTCTCAAATAAATAAATAAAATCTTTTAAAAAATAAAAATAAAAAATAAATGAGTATCACCATATGAAGATATTTTAATCTCAAATAGATTATCTTCAACCAGAAAAAAGTAATTTCAAAAAGGCATTACCGCAGATTTTTTATTACTGTAATTAGAAGCTTCATCAATTTTCCCTGACAGGACTGACGATAAAAATGTTCTCAGGACATCACTGATTTTACCTATGTCTGCATCTCTTTCTGACAACAGTGGCTTGCAAATTGCAAGGCAACATTTGCAGGAGGATCAAGAGATGGAGTAATTACCTGTCAGCCAGGGGACTCGGAAGAAAAGGTAATGAAAACCTGTTAGAATTTATCTTTTCCGTGCCCTGACAGTATGTGTTGATTTTGACCCACCCAAAAAGCATAGAGCATGAGAAAGGAAGCTGCGCAATGGGTCACCCCATTATATTCACAAGAAGAGTAAGAGTAAGACGGGATGATGTTCAGGCCACGCATGACTGTGTGTTGATGGGATTTGTGGAGAGGGGAGTCTTCTTTTTGGAAAAGCAGAGGTATAAAAATGATCTTTTTGCTGGACATCATTTAACTATACTAATCATTCCCTAATAAATCTGTTCTTCCTTTAGAATATAAAACCAAATTTCATTCATTCTTCACCGAATCACTTAGTTTCTTCAGTGAAGGAAATCTTTGTTGACCTTTCAGCAATCACTCTAAAACAGATACGATTTTTTCTCATTTAGAATTGCTGTAAATATACACGTCAGACCAGCAGCTGGCTTGTAAATGTGTGCTGTATTGTCAGGGCGGTGGGGCAGAAGACTATGAATGGATTAAAATCATTCCTTCTGCAGTTATGTGCTAAGTGCCTCCTATGTGGTCCACATGGTGGATATGATAATGAGCAACAGACAAGCCTGCACCCTTGAGGAGCTTCCGATCTTGTCAGGGAGGACAGACATTAGTCAAAAAATCATACAGTGCAAACAGCACCAAGTGCTATTAAGGAAAGAACCATAAGCTATGCAAGAAGGTAGCAAAGGAACCTGACCAAATGGGGAGGGCAGTTCTGAGAAGCCTTCTCCATGGAGGTGCCATCTCAGTGGAGATCTCAAATGTGAGCCAGAGGTAGCCAAGTGAAGGGGAGTGAGTAGAGAGCCTGTGCAAAGGCCCTGAGGCAGGAGGGGACGTAGCCCTTTGCAAGAACTGAAGAGAGCCTGCGTGGCTGCAAGTGTAGAAAGCAACTTGGAGAAAAGCTTGAGAAGAGTCTGCAGAACCTGGCAGAAACCAGACCGTGCAGGCCTTGGGTGTTTCTCTGCACGGCAGTGGTAGGCAATTGAAATGTTTTAATGGGTGGGTAGGATTAGAGTCAGGCTCCTGCATTCTACTCTGGAAACAGACTGAAGTACGCCAGAGTGGATTAAGGAAGTCAGGTGAGGCGGCTGCTGCCCAGTCAGGCAGAGGTGCTGCCTTGGCATTACCTCACCACTACTGAAAGAGCATTGTGGACTGTGCACCCTTCGGAGGATGAGAAACCATCTTCCTGTGTTAGACACACAGTGCTTTACTAAGGTGTAAAAACAAACAAACAAACAAACAAACATTGAGGGGTAAAAATTTTCAAGGGAATACCAGTGGTTCAATTCCATCTGGTAATTGTTTTGAACAAGTCTGCAGTCCTGAGAGTAACTATCCTTGCTGTGGGTGAGTCCCCAGGTGAGCCCCTTGGTAAGTGTTAGTGAAGAGGCACGAGGTTGAACAAGCAAACTACAAGACTGAGAAATATCTAGATAGGGTTCTAACATGTGGGTTGCATTTCCACATCACTGCCCTTCTTGAGGACATTCTGTTTCATGTTGTGTCTTACAGAAAACTTTCATATCCCTGACGTCATTGATCTTCTGGGGTGTGGGAGGCGGGGCAGGCAGCAACAGCCCCATTTTAGATAAGGAAACCAAGCTTGACTGGTCCAAGGCTTCATGGTTGATAGGCAACGGGCTAAAACATGGCCTGCCCACAACATCTGGAAACAAGCAAATGTACATAACAAATGGTGTATCTATATTACATTTTAAAAATATGGGTTTTATGACATCACATGAGATGTCCCCAGTAAGCATAGCTGAATGTGCAGTTCAAAATACAACAGACTCTAGCCTTTCCATCAGTCCCTACATATGCATCTGTGATGTGCTGCCTTAAATGACTTGTGACCCTGATTTTCACTGAATAACCTGTGCCATGAGCATACCCCAAAAGTAACGTGTTAAATACATTACACATTACACACACACACACAGAGGATATGTTACAGATTTTTTGGCCACCCAGTAGCACCCACGCCTTTTGATTCCAGGCCCAATCCTCCCTCCACTATACTCTGCTATTAAAATAAATTCAATCCAGAGAAAAGTTATCAAGTTATGACTTCAAATTAGCAAAAACCTAGTCTAGTTCATGATACAGTTTATCTAGGACTATAAAAATAGTTATCTAAACTTTTACCCTCAATCATCTAACTGTTATATTGTCTATAATCAAATCTCCATCAGGAAAATGCATTAATACATTGCAGATTTTTGGGAATGAGGGTTAAAACAAAATCTATTATTTATTTGTTCATTTGTTTACAGCTTCCTGGTTAAATCTAAAAACTCAGGACTTCCAGTTAAATTATCCTCCTTCCCAAACATTCCAATTTTCAATTATGTGTCTCTGTTGTGCTCACAGTTTATTTTTGTGGTTTTCTTTTGTTCAGTTGCCCTTTTCCCCCCTATTTCTTCTCCACGTCCCTCGAAGAAAGATTTCTGTTGTTTTTGCTTAATCTTCTTACCTCTTACTGTTTTTTTTTCTTTTTCATTTCCTCCTCATCCCCCCCTTTCTGTGCATCTGTGTTGTAGTCGTGTTTCTTCTCGTCCATTTTCTTGTTTTTAGACTTCATTTCTTTATTCAAGTATTTATATGTGGCAACTCTGTTAGCATTATAATAAAGGCTGGAAAATACAAACGTGGAAAGAAGAAACTGTTTTCAAGCACTGTACATATAAAAACACATTTGATGTTTTACAACAGTCCTTGGAATGGTTTTTCCAATTTTGCAGATAAGAAAGTTAAGGCTGAGAGGCTACATCTGCAGGCCAGATTCTTCCCATCCCCAGAGTTCATACTTTCTCTAACTTAGTTTAAAGGTAAAAACATACACATAGAAAAAAGATAGAGGACAATTTCCAGCATCTGTCTAAAAGTCTGTATGGTTTTAGGAACCTGCATAAAACACCCAGCAGGGAGGAAGGTGGGCTTGTTAGAAAAAGGTCAACATTAAGGCCAAATTCTGAGTCTAATGTTTCCAGCATTTTTGCAAAACCAACCCAGCTCTCTTCCCATTACTGGTATTAGCTCAGGGCATTAGAATTTCCCTGTGTGGCTCATGGACACACTGATGACCAGAAAACCCAGACAATGAACAAATATCCTGAAGAAGATGCTTTTGGTCCTTTGTGAGTGACAGTTTTGAGGTCAAAGCTGGTCTGGAAGGCAAATTGTATACTATCTACTGGAGAAGGTGCTCTCCCACTGAGTCAGGCAAGGCTTGGGTGATTTGTTTAAATTGTCGGGATACTGTTAAATTCTGTTTTCTTAGTAGACCCTGGAAGTAGTTTGGCCACTGGGCATGCAGCTCAAACCGCACATTCTCTAATCCCACCCACCTTACCTGAACCACTGCTGAATGTGAGGTCTGGCTAGGCACAGGGGGGAGTGTAGAAATGAGAAAGACTGCGTTCCCATTGCAGAGAACACTCCCAACAAGGCCAAAAATGGGCCATGAGGGCAAATGGGGGGGGGAGAATCTTTACATGCTACTAAAGGTGGGCCTTGAGGATGGATGATGGTGTCAATCCACTGAAACAACAATCTTATGTCCAGAGTTGGCAGAGATATTATTATGCTAATTAGAGCTACGGTTTGGCTTCTGTCCCGAAAAAACCCAACAAATGTTTGACCTCAGAGGACAGCTTACCCTCAAGTGATTCTCTCCAACTCTTTTGTTTAGTCAGGATCCCTGTCTTCTGGAACAGTCTGAAGTTGCCAATTATTCTGAGCACGGAGGCAAGTGGAATGGGGATGGGAAGTGACCTTAAGGTTCACAGAATCTATGTCTGAATGCAGACTGTGGAGTAAACGTGCCAGTGATTATTACAGGAGTGTTTCTGTTTCAGAGAAGTGTGTACTTTAGGAAAGGATTAGTAACTTGGCTTACTGAACTTAGCAGAGTAAATTCTTGAGTTCTTAGAGAGGTCAGTCTGCCAGAGATAGTGATGGTGGACACGCAGGCGTATGGAGTCTTCCCACCCCCAAGCCCTACCCAGCCCCGACTGGTCATTGCCACAAGCTCATTTCTGGTCGTTCCAAACAAGTGGCATAAGTGAGGAGTCACTATGGATAGGTTTGTAGAAGGGAATATAACTCCTTGCTGGGTGTCAAATATTTATTTTCCAATTTCTCTTGTATTCTTAACATGAAGTTGCAGACGTCAAAATAATATAAAAGGGTTACACTGGTAGCTTGTACACTTGTAACCCAATTCACAGACATGTTTTATTAAGCTTGTACGATGTTTTCTTAATTGGCCTGACATTTAAAAATTAAAATCGTCCACACATACGCATACATTCACAACAGAATGCCGTCTCTGAAAAAGGAGCCAGCAACACTGGGCCTGCCTTGTTATATGGCGGCCGCAAGCTTGGGCTGAACATCAGCTGCCCCTCTGGTGTGCTGTCCACCGTTTCCCACTGCAGTGTTGAGTTCCTAAGCCTGAAGGCAACAGCCAGGTGCCAATTATCATGATGCTTGGGCTGCTGTTTTTCTTATAATAGAAAAATGTGTTGCTGTACTTAAGGCCCCCACGTGGGGAAGTGGAAAGCCAGACAGGGCTGTGTGTTTCAAGAAAAATGGGCCACCCGTTAGCACCTGCTTGAGAGTGTGTTACTCTTGCCTGTGTGAGAAACGTCCCTCTCTATACAAGACGCAAGAGCCTGTCTGTTGAACCGGCTCACACAGGTGTCTGTTAGAGAATTCTCGGTGCATGGACAAAACGGTTTCTTTAAAAAAAAGAAAAAAGAAAAAAAGCGTCTCTAATACTTGGGAAGTATTTTTGAGAGAAGGCTTATTTTAAAAGACGGGCGTGATTAGTCAATGATTTAGGCTTCCGGGTGATTATAATAGCCATTCTCCTAGAATAACGCATGGCATACGCTAAATAGAATGTAAGACGAGGAGTATGATCTGCATGTGTCTCATGAAAGCAGTTTCACTGATTTGCAGACCCTGCTTTACCCATGTTTTCTCAGCCTGAGCAGGAGGGACAAAACTCTTCATGACCCTAGAACAGCCCTTCTCATTAAGAATTTGGGTTTCCACCGACCTCTCCATTTCCTGTGGAATTCATCTGGAGTGGCTACCACTAGGTAGTTTCAAGGGGACAGAAATGTGGGTCGGGAAGAAGAACCCCCGCTCCAAGTGCTCCGGATGGCAGCACGAGCCTTAGCCTTTCAACTAATGAATACGGCTTACCTCCCGGGTCCTGTAGGGCCGGCCCTGGCAAAGCTAGAGATGTTTCCATTTCACTCATTATAAGTGATTTTAGTTGGCACAGTCCCAATTCAACAGGTATTTCTGAGCACTACTTGAACATTTGACTCTTCGGACTCAAGTGCCATCATTTACATTTAGCCCAGCTACATTTCACCTTATATTCCAATCATCATTCCAACTACTAGGGTCTTTTTTGGACACTAATCTATGCACGAGAAGCCTGCCACCTCTGTTCTTAAACAAACTGAACAAGTTGCAGTTTCTGCAGTTAAACTGTAACCCATTAAACAGCACCCTTCAGAGAGAGTCAATTACTCTTCTGTAAGGAATCCTCTTCCCCGCGTTGACTGAAAAGAAGTGTCTGCTGACGTTAAAGTTTTCTTAAAAATAGTAAATACCTCAGGCTGTGTAATCTGTATCATAGGCTTAAAGGTATTTGTCTTTCAAAGCTTTGAAAGATATCCATGGCCAAGGTCCAAAAAACTACTCAGCATACACAATACAATCAGTGAGCCAAACCCAAGTGATATTAGCAACAGGCGAGCACATGTTGATTATACCTACTTAGGAGGTAGGTATACCTACTTAGGAGGTAGGTATACCTACTTAGGAGG